GGACTTTTGAACAGGGAAACGCAATTATTAATTGCTATATATGTTGTGTGTAATTAATATATGACAGTTTAGATTTCTCTGTTGATGTTTAAACGCATGAACAACCCCATAACTTTAATAGAATTCATAGGTTATTAATGTTTAAGTATATATGCAATATAGCTTTAGAGTTAATAATTAAAATATAATATATTTTATTTACAAAATTTGTACAAGAGTTTCGTTTTATATACTTAGCTTATGACCGACCTGTACTGCTTCTTAACGATAACCCATGTCAATTAATGAACATTGACATCTTTACAATTATCGATTACACGCAAGCTGTCAGGAAACAATGGAGCTGCTAACTGTTACGCATATGATAGTTTGGAATCGTATCGTTTAAAAAGAGTAGGCAAGAGACTAGCAGTTGTGTTCTAGCATGACAATGCCAGACAACATACATTTTTGATGATTTGGAAAAAATTTTGGAAGTTTAGATGCATTCACTGTAAATGAGATCTATAAGATTTGTTGTGCTGAAGACAGCAGAAGAAGACACTTAAGTTAAGTCGGACAATTTAAAGTTGTTGACCAACCTAACAATAGCGCTTGATTCAAGGTTCAGTGAAAGCCATTCGGACTTAGAGTAACTGTATATAGTAGCTATAAGATTAATACGTGTTTATAGGAAAAAACGTATCCGAAAATTAATACATACATACATATAATCTGTAGAGGTAGAACATTTTCAAATTTTCAAACTTTAAAAACTTTAAAAAAATATTAACAGACTTTTCTGACATATGTAGTTAAATAATACATATCATTTATACATTATAAATACAATTCGATATGAAGATTTCTTTTTCTTTTGAATAAAATATTTTATACTTTATAAATACTTTCATATATGTATATGATTACTTCTTTCTATTTCTTCATCACGACTACCACTTGGACGATTGCCAACCAAACTCCGACAACAAGCAGGGTTGCCAGCTCCGCTCTTTACATGTATTGTAATCCATTCTTCCAGACAATTTTTTCTGTAGTTTTATTGGACCGAAAAATCATATCATGTGTATCACATTTATAATTAATTGATTGTTCAGAAATCGTTGAATTTTCATTTCATTAAATTAATTAAAGTAATTAATATATTATTTAATATTAAAGTATTACGTAATATTTACAGAAGCTTAAAATAAATTATAAAATATTTTCGGTTGTAAAGTTTTTCTGTGTAGGATACATTTAAACTTCCACTACTTCTGAAAATATTTAAGCTCATATTTTTAGAAGTAATTTGAAAAATGTCCTCAAGGCTTAATATAAAACTGAAATTCGTTATTATATCCTCTAGCAAATTTACGATATTGCAAAATATTTATAGATTTGCACTGAAATTTATTAATACTGAATCGTATTAATAGATTCGGTTGGGTTTGTTTTACATATGAAGACAGTTATGGTATTTGATATTAAATTGAAGTGAAAATTTATTTATGAATTTATATCTACGCAATTCATATTTTAATTTGTTAAGGCTATTTATGCACGTATTTACATGCCAGAAATTTATTAAGTTTTTGGAATTTTTAACTGAAAATGGTTAGGCAATAATTTTATTAAAATTAAAAATAATTTTCATTTTTATATAACATTTATTAATTATTTGTAATTACTTTCATAGGAATTTCATTCAATCAATTTCGATTAATTTAAAGTAAAGGACTGAAAAAGGAACATATTTTTGGTACTAAAAGGATTACGATTTATAATTATATAAATTACATAAATTATAGTTATAGCATAGCATTCATACCAATTAAATATCCTTGTAAAAGGAGTTTCATATGAATACAAGTTATACTGTTTTGTCGTTGTATTATGTATGCTTTCATATTATATCTGAAGAACTCTCTAAGTTAAAATTGTCAAAAGATTCTAGTAATTTAGAATTTGAAAGGCAAATCAAGTAAATAAACCGCGACTCTGCACATTTCATGTGCCATTATGTTGCATATGTTATGAAGGATATTATTCAATAAACAAAACAATTGAAATAACGTGATTTACTGTGTCGTAACGTAATTGATTTTATGTTATAACTTCGTGGTGAAAATGCATCGCTTTTAATTAAAATAATTTTCACTACACAATGGATGGATTTGTGGGTATTCAAAATTTTGACTTATATAAAAAAATTAATCCAAAACTAATTTAATACAATTTATAATCGAATATTTTAGTTAAAAGTTTGGTGAGGTTTTTCAAAATTGATCAAAAGATATATTCACGTTAAAAGTACATATATAGAATTATTTAGTTTTTTATGTTGAAGCTATTTGAGCCAGTGCACTTGAGCACTTTTACTCTTTACTCTTTGACTGGATTACTTTTTCAGACTAAGCAATAATTGACCTCAGATTTGCATACCTCCCCGATGAGCCTGCAACCATTCTGAGATTTGATAAAGCGGTGTTAGTAAGTCTGTTTTCGCAAAATAATTTCATGGTTCTATCCTTTATGTATTTTTTGATTGGATCAATGTTAAGATCCCTGAGAATGCAAATCGTCCTAATGTACCATAGTACTTTGAAAAATCTTCTCAGAGTCTGGCTTTGTACAATTTCTAGCTGGTGAATAGTAGTGTTTGAAGCTTTGCTAAACGCTACACAACCATATAGAAGTGACGGACAAATTATTTGGTTATATATCAGTTTTCTGTTAATTATTTAATAAAACATAAGGTATAAAGTTGCAGTTCTTCAGAGAATTTTCTTTTATCGCTGCAATGGACTAAAAATGTTACTTTTGAATAATAATTTTAGGTATAGAAACGGGAAATAGTTTCACGGAGACTTAACTAACGATTACAGTGCTTAGTTGATCTTAGCAGTTATCTTAAGAGTGATCTTAAAACACTTAAAAGAATAATTGTAAAAATATTGGATGTAAACAGATTGGTGAAAAAATTGTGTTGGTAACATTTTAAAAAGAAAGTATCATTGGCTTTGTTTTAGGGAACATAATCATTAAATATTAACAATCAATGGTATTCAGCGTTATATTCAGAATATGTGTTTGCGTTAATCCTAAATAAAAACACTTATTGTATAACACGTAGCAATGAAGAGATAAAAGCATTTCATTTGTTCATTTATCAGTTTTCATTTATTGCAAAAGAATTGATTTAAAAATTTATAAAACTACATTTTAATTGCCAATAAAGTAGCTACGTGGTCTATTTATGTTATTTATGTACTATTTTATATAAAATGAAAACAATAATTAACTTCATCTATTATTGGGACTAATGGAAAGATGAAACAGTAAACGAATATTCCAAATTGTGGTAAGTACCACACAAACGGAAAATATGTATTCAAATGCCTATTTAAAATCTATATTAAAATTCTTTCATTGCTTGTCGTTTAGGCTTTCAATAAAAAAGCATATCAGATGATCGGACTTTTACCTTTGAAGTGGTTCCTCAAGAAAACAAGGTTCAGTTTGAGAACTCGTCGAGTAAGACTTATTGAAACTGAAATAATAAAACAATGTATAGAACCCTTTACAAAATTTACAAAAGACGAGAAGCCAGCAATTGGTCTCAAAGTCAAAATATAAGCGTCAACACAAAGTTTATAGAAGCTCTCGTTAGTATATAAATATATATATAAATATATGTATATTAAAATGTATATCTGAATGTTGATTTAAAATTTTGTGTGTAGCGTGTCTAAGCTTCGGCAAAGCCAAAGCAAACATTGTTGGCTTTCAACTAAATCCAGGAAACTAACATAAAATATTATATTTTATTTTTAACAACACGTAGAGAGTAAGGCTAATAAGAAGACTATAATATTTCAATTTTTTATTTAAAAATATTTGCTATTTTTGTTATTTTGTGTTGGAATATTTTTAAGATAACTGAAACAATGAAATAACATAAATAAATTGCATGTTGCAATAAATCCCATTTTTACTAAATAAAAGCCATTTTACAGAATGAAAATAAAAATATTACAAATCCTTTCAAAAAAAAATCTTATTCTTCATCTTCAATATCTTGAATTTAATAAAAAATTTAATATACTGTTTATATGTAAAACAATTTATAACATATCCTATTGAAAGGACATGTAATTTAAAAGCAAAGTTTTCTACAAACAATTTGAAATAGGGACTTTGTATCGAAATATTATAAATAAAAATGAGTTTAAATTTTTGGTAGAAATTCTAAAATGCAAGACTTGTTTGGAAAAGAGGATTTTAGTATATTTTTGTTTTTGTATTTAATAATTTGAATAAATGCGCCTGTAGCTCCATCGATGATGCTACTGCTCCTCTAAATTTGCGTACATCAATTTTATTAAATTTTGTTAACAAATGCAGATGAATAAACGAATGCAATAAATGCGTAAAACAAGCATTGCAATGCACTTTCCCTGTGCAATGCACTTTTGTGCAAATGCAACCATTGCAATTCGAACGATTTGCACATCGCAACCCATTATCAAAAGCAGTAAGGTTGCATGTGAACGTTTGATCCTTGTTGCTTATTGTGCTGTGTGTTGTGTGTTGCGTGTTGTGTAAGTGTGATATATGAATGCTCATGTATGTGAGTGTATCTATGTGAAAATATTGAATTGCTTGTGTGTAAATTGAATTCGATTGAATTCAATAAAATTCAGTTCATTTCAATTTGCTGCTGTAGTAATAATTTCATTCAATTTTTTTAATTTGTTATTTTTTTTTAATACCCGTGTTTATTTCTTGATAGTTTTGGTTTGAGTGTAACTGTGAAATATTGTACAAGTATGCAAGTATGGAGAGAAAACTATTAAAGTTTGCAGTTTCAGTAGTACGGATTACTGAAACCTGTAGTTTTACTGGGAATTTTATAGTATTGCATTGACTGAGTTCAGTTGAATTTGTTATGTATTTACTGACAACGAAATTATATTTTAATTTTTTTTTTTGTTTTTTTTGTTTTTTTTGATACTTACTCGGATGTAAAACTTTCTGCGCTTTACTGTGACTAGCACAAAACGAAGAATATAATTTGAAATGATTTACATAGTAAAGGAAAGCGGAACCAATCGCAAACAGTACGTTCTGCAAAGATAGAGATAAAATTTAAGTTATTGAAATTGAAATTTCAGTTTGAGACAATGTGCATTTCAATCGAATATGTATTTTGTGTATCTTCTTAGTTCGTTCTTGTAGCAAATATTCTTTGTAAAAGACTAAAATTGTTAACAAAAACAAAATAAGAGACGTTTTTAAATAAGAAGAAAAATAATGTTATATTTTACGTAAAACAGATAAATATTTCTTGTTGTAAGATTTAAAAAATTTTTTTTTTTCAACTTAAATCAGCAGGTTCACTTTAGATATATGAAAAAAAAAACGATGCAAAATTGTAGAAAAAGAATTGAGTTCATTAAATGAAGTTTCTGCAAAGATTTCGTTTATTTTCAGTTGCAGTATTGAACTGGGTAAATGGTTAAAGTCAGCATGAAAAAAGGTAATTGAGTTAGGACAGATTTACCTGTTGCGAAAGCAAAAGACATAAACTAGATAACATGGTAAGATTAAATGCACCATCCATTTGCACTGCAAAGGATGTCGATAGCAGAGAAAATACTCCCTTTTAACACTACTGCAGAAATACAGTATTTACTGAATTACTTTTCAATTCAACTACATTTTAGCAAACGTTTTAAGGCATTAAAGAAAATTCAGGGCTTGAATTAAACATTAAATTAAATAAAATTCTAAATTTTAACAAAAAGAAAATAATAAATTTAATTGAAAATTGAATTAAAATAAATTGAAAGAGATGTGCATGAGAAAAAAATTCAATTTTTTAGTAAATAAAATTTTATCATTTATAATAAAATACTATATGCTAACTATTTACAATGAATTTTACTGAAGATATAGTCAATTCTATCTAAATAAAGAGTTGGATTATCCAAAAGCATTTAATTTTATATATTACATTCTCATTATTTAAAAATAAATATAGAATAAATCATATTTATACGTAAAATATAAGTAATTAAGATATTAATTGCTATTAATTTTTATTAATATAAAAAATATTTTGAAGTTATAATAATATATACAATATTTTAAAAACATCAAATTGTAAACAAATTTAAAAGGCATTCCATACAAAAGCATGTTTTCCTATAATATGCTTGAATAATTAACACTGGCTTGAACAGTACTATTACTTTTGGTGTATTTTTATAATAGATATCTTGCCTTTTTATGATATATATCTGCAGAAGTTCGTATTACTGAAGGTATTCACTGTTTAGGCTCAAACAAATGGACTTACCATGATATAGTAGCTTTTAAACACATTAGCTGGCTTAAGAAATTTTAGAAAAAGATACCCCTATTTAAAAGACTACTGTGTGGATTTTATGGAACGAAGAGGACTTGAAGATAGACTTCTGACATATACGTCTTTCTTTTAATTGCTCTTTTATTAGTACGGCATTTATATTGAATAATAAAAAGTTTCGATGTGTGAACTGCGACCTATTTAATTGTAAAACACACATAAATAATATCAACTCATCGATACAAACCTGGATATGTGAACAGTTTAAAGGCATAGAAGAAGTCAACATCATGATGACAAATGAATTATAGACAAATTGCTGAGACGAGGGTATACCCAGCACCTTATGAGTTAGATTAGACAAAAATAAAACGGAAAGCCTTTTGGGCTTCGGTAATCTATTGAGACTGTGAAATTGCGTTGATGCTTCAATGGTGACATATTTTGACAAATAACCACCTTTTATAGTTTTGTCCTGGACTACAAAAGATATCCAAGGGACTAATACTTATTTGGCGTGACAAAGATAAAAATTTACTGAAGATGCACAGAAGTACATAAGAAGAAGGTCTAAGAAGATAAAAACAGGGAATAATAACGGTTAGTTAACGGTCCGAGAGAAAATGTTCTCTGAGTTCTCTGATTGTATAAATTTATATGTGAATAAAATCACAGAAGAATTAAGCTGTTCTATCTTTATATGGGTATTTAATGCAAAAAGAGAGATTTGTAGAGATTATATATACCAGTAGCTTAGAGAGTGATAAAAAATTAACAAATGCAAGCTATTTAAACAAGATGGGAGTCATAATATAACAATTTATTTAGATACGTAATAATTATAGAGTGTTGTTGCTGCATAGTTGAAATAATCATAAATAACCACATAGATCCAATTAACTAATCTCGATTTTATAAGCCAACTCTCGTCCGCTTAGAATAAGAATGCTGCGGTGCTATATATTCTCTATATTCCTCTACGGGACAGAGGCCTGGACGCTGTCTGTTGCATCGATAAATAAACTCGAGGCTTTTGAAATGTGGTGCTACCGACGTATGCTCAAAATAAGCTGGACAGAAAAAATTACAAATACAGTGGTACTTCGGCGTGTCAACAAAGAGACAGAAATATTAGAAACAGTAAAACGCCGAAAGTTGAAGTTTTTTGGTCATATTCTGAGGCTTCCGGAAAAGTACGGACTACTAAAATTAATCATTGAAGGCAGAATTGAAGGTAGACGTGGCCCTGGGAGACGAAAGATACCATGGTTGAAGAATTTATGTCAATGGTTTAATAAAAATAGAATATCACTTTTTCGAGAAGCTGTACATAAAATCAAAATAGCAATCATGTTAGCCAACGTTCGAAGCGGATAAGGCACCTAGAAGAAGAAGAAGAAGAACTCTCGTCCAATACGTTTTAGGGAAACACTAACTTAAGATCTTTAGAACCTATGTATTTCAATTTTTGACAGTTTTAAAAAATATGCAGTAAAAAACATCTTACAAAGAATAAAATTGAATGTCTCCTGTTATGAATGTTTTTGAATACGTAGCCAAAGTAATTATCTATCATTACTTATAATAAACTAAACATATATTTCACCTTTATATATCTCGTCATCTGCTTATATCTTTTAACTCAGAACATTTCAATCACAATTAATTAGTTTTTTTTTTAAAAATTGCACTTTATGTGATCAATCAGTTTTCTTCTTACTTGTCATGAATTTCTCTTGAGTACTCGTATTATTCTAGGTATTAATTTCTTAAATAATTTTAAAGTACTTTAAATTGAAAAAGCCACTACAGAAAATAATGAAATCAAACTTCCTACTTTCAACTTCAACAGTAATCGCCTTTTTGATTCTAATTATTTCAAAGCATTTCTTTGCACTCGTCCATAGAAACTCGCACAAATAATCTTTATTTAACTGACGTCATATGATTATCGCTTGGAAAATAAAATGTGATTTCAACTGAATGCATTTTATCAACTTCAAATAAAAGAACGAAATAACAAAAAGAATAAAAATAAAAGCAGACATACATACACACATACAAACATATACATGTACAACTAAATTAAGACTCTCATTTCGAATGTTATTTAGACAGACATATAAGAACTCATACGCACTGATGTACACATAAACACACACACACACAGACATTCAGTCAAAGTCAATTAAATGCATTGCACAAGAGGATTAAAACAAAAAAAAATATATTTCTTTATATACAATGAGAAAGTATCTACGTATGTATTTGTGTCATTTGAACTCAAAAAAAACAAAATCAAAAAAAAAACAAAAGAAACCCTCACCCATACATAGTGACATTACAGTCAGATGTAATTAAGAGTTACATTCATATGATAGTCCCTATTTAAATGTGTAAGTCTTTGCATAAGCATTAGAGTTGGTGTGTATGTTCGTATGTGTAAAGGTGTTACATATACACGTGTGTAATTAAAAAGTGAATTAAGTTTGTATGTTCGTGAATTTGTCTGAGTTTTTGCATCTGTGTTGTGCACTGTAACGTACACTTTTCTTTATTTTAGTCACATTTTCTCTTATTTGAGGTTTACAAATATAGCGCAGAACAAAAGTAAAAACTTAATTAAATTCACTTTAATAATATTATCGTCATCGTTGCGCTCACAACAACAAAAAATGACAGCACTGACAGCACTGACAACACGAAAACTCAAACGAAAAAAGGATTATTAAAACTAAAGTAAAAGGATATCTTTGTTTTATGTCATCTACTTATGACTATTTTTGTGATACGATTTTTCAGTTATATTAACTTGAATTAATTATTTTGTTCGTTAGCTTTTGAGAATATTTTTTCGGTGTTTTTTTCTTTTTTTTCTAAGTGTTCCTGTGAAGTACTAAAACTATTATACAGTAAATAAAAATTAAAAGCAGATGCTTATAAATGATGTTTTTATTATTGTAAAAATTAACTTAGCTAAAACGGTTTATATCAAAAATGCAGCTAAATACTAAGTTGAAAAAATACACTTAAAAATTTTATAAAAACTGAAATATTGCAAATATATTCCGTTTTAGATTTTATATTAAGGTAATAAATTACATCGACGAGCTAAATCGGTTGGCTGATATCACCCTAATCTGGGTTCTTGGATATACGAACATAGAAGAGAATGAAAAAGCTGACAGTTAAGCCCGCTCTGGTGCTTCCCGAGTTGTGTCACTGGCGGTACCGGTTTATATTACCCTAGAGATCTTCTACAACTTGCTAATAACAAGTAGAAAGCACTTGTCACGTGCAAATATCAGATTAACATGGCCCGCCTATAATAAAAATAGATGCTTGGAACTCATCAAAAGAAACCGCGTGAACACTGCAAGGCTTACTGCAGTTGTGACTTGTCATTGTTAAGAACAACATGGCTATCAAGACCAGATGCGATTGCGGGTCAATACAAATTGCTGTAAAGATTGAAGGGCCGCAGAAACAAATACATACGTTCATAGTTGTTATTATAAATACATTATAACTTTATAAATTCTATTATAATGTTAAATTTAGTTTCATTAATATTAATATATTTATTGGGTATAGCATAAAAATAAAATAATGAAGTTTTACCAGATTAAAAACATGTTGCAGGCTGTATAAACATTAGTACTTTAGACCGCCCTGATGTATAGGAACTCACGGTGAGAAACTGCGCATTTTCCATAATCTTCACTGTAGAAGTAGGAGGAAAAAAAAACCATAATACACTTTCTCTGTGAATGCCAGGCTTTGGCGTTCCGAATATATAGGTTCTTAGCAAGATACATCTTTAATAGTTTATCAGACTATTCATCGGTTAATATGAAAGACTTATTAAATTATCTAAATTCGGTTGGATGGATTTGGTCTCTACTCTTCTATACTAGAGTTCTTGCGACGAATGTGGTAGCAAAACGGCGAAAAATCACTAATTGCTGTACACAGAAATTATTGAATGTCCTCCCACTGCAGCCAACCAACCAACCAATAAATTACAGGAGTATGATTAATCATATTTATTTCTCCAATTAATTTTTGTATTATTACTCATGAAGGATGCATAAATAATATTTGTTTATATTGAAAAAATTAATTCAGCTAAAAAGGCTTAATTAAAAAATACAGCTAACTATTTGGTTTTAAAAATAAGATAGAAATAAGCTACAAAATTTTAATAATAGTTGAAACATTGCAAACGTTTTTAATTTTTAATTTCTGACTAATATAATATACTACAGTGCGTATGAGTAATGTTTCTTATATTAAATGCTAACAGTGTGCTCAGTGTGTTCATTTTCGCATTGTTGATCATAAAAGATGAATAAGAAAGTTTTCGAATATTATTTTTTTTGTGTGTATGAAAACTACATCCTTTGGCAATTTTATTTTTACAAAATCTTGTTTTCTTGACCGAATATAATTATTATTTTATTATAGGCGGCAACCTCACACCACATTTTAAGCATATATGTATTTGTATTAAATTTTATTAACATAAAATATAAAAATCAAATTTAATAAATATTGAATTTATAATATCTAAAAAGAATTAAATAAAAAATCGAAGTTCTATATAAAAAAAAATTATTTTTGTTGCCAATTACACGAGCTCACAATTTTTTAATATCATTTATAATAGAACTGGATAAATATTTATTTTTGTTTAAAATAGAAATAAATGTAGCTCAGATATTCAAAAAACAAAAGCAATGGTGTGGATTTTGATCAGATAATATTAAAATAATTGTGTGCTGTTAAACGAATTTTTCGATATTTTTTAGTTATTTTTTGTAAAGACAATATGAAAGTAATTGCATTGCTGGAAAATAAATTTCATGTACAAAAAGATTGAACTACAAAATATACAAAAAATGAACTACAAACAATAAAAACATAAATTGGCGTAAGCAACGAAGAACCAAATACTCCAAAAAGAATAAAAGAAGAATAAATGCAAGGTATAGTCCAAGGAAGATAGAAGCTAAATTTGGTTGCGAATTTGGTGCACTGATATTTTGAGATATTATAGTAAATACCACCAAAAAAAAAAAAATTTCGCTATTTACAATAAGGAGTACAAGTAGTGGTGGAGTAGAGGTATAAAGTTATTACTTTTAAATTGAAATTTTTTTTATGAGTTGCTATGTTAAATGAAGTGTACAGCAATATGGGCGAATACCAGGTAAAAATATGGTAGACAACTTGCAAAATGTAATAAATTTATTTTTCATTTGCAGTGGCGACCAGAGAGCAGTTGTTGGTCGTCCAATTTTCCGGTGCACTAATAATAATTTGCACAACAATAATAAAATGAATTAAAATTTGATTAAGAAAATGGAAACTGTTGGCATATACACAAGGATACTAACTAATACAATACCAGTTGATACAAATACAGATAAACTATTTTTAATTTCCTGTCAATATAAGCCAATTGCGAAGTTACTGCCTGCAGGTAGTGCATCTGTAATTTTAATTTATTGTTCTGTCTAAGAATTTATAAATTGTATATTGTAATAAAAATTCTGAATTTCATGTTTATTGAAGGAAATGATAAAAGTAACTTAGTTTGATTGTATATATTGTCACATGTATGCACAGCAAGTTAGGTAAAAATAAATTATTAAAAATGATGCATACGAAAAAAAATTATGACATAAAATGAAGCACATTTATTTATAATAAAATATCTCAAGAATATAATTCAAAAAATCTATGAAAATTACTTAAGGTATTAATTAAATTTTTTAGTATATAATAGAAAGGAATAAAATCACATAAGTCAAAAAATTGATTATTTTTAATTATTATTTTTAGTAAAGAAAGTTCAAAAAATGTCTCCAAATTGACTAAATTAATTGTAATCTGTTATTTCTTTTGAGAAATATTTCTTAATTCTATTAAAGAAATATTAAAATATAACTGATATGAGAAATCATGTATTGCTTCATAACTGTTTAGGAAAAAATTGAGAAGCAACTTTGATAAAATCTCTGCTAGTAGTGAATAATAACAATGGAATATATATTCAATCTATACAGTCATTACTGTATTGGTTATAATACTATAATAGTGTAATAAAAATATATCCAACGAACACAAATAAAAGCAAATATGATTTGTCTAAGATAGTAGAGCTTCAAGAAGCTCAAATACGGACGCAATGACTTCTACTTATGAATATTTCAAGGATTTTTAATAACACTATTTTTTAAAAGTTATTAAAAATCTGGAATATGCAACCATGTACAAAAGTGCAGAGCTCATAGTAGAATTAGCCGACGAATTTATTTAAAATTTTTTGTTCTATTTTTTATTTAAAGGTAAAAAATGCACATTGTTTTTAAAAACTATTCATAACTCGTGTACTTACCCGGAACTGACTGGAATGGTCAAATTTATGAAAGTCGGGTTCTAGTTCAAGCGCTTCCTCTAGATTTTGCAAGAATTGTCTTTGGAATGTCACAATTTCATGGATGTTACCGAACAGCGCATTAATTTCAGCATTTGACAGGAATGTTTCACGTTTCATTGGCTCCAAGTAATGTTCCAATAGATTATTTAAGTGCTGCAAAATACACAGACATATTTTATTGAATTTATCTTATAAAAAAATTTGATTAATTTAATTCATATTAAAAATAATATAATTATTAAAAAAGGAAACTTATTATTTTTGTTAAATATATCAAATAAAATTACTTTTATAATTACTTCTTATAATTACTTTTTTTTTATGAAGACGTGGTATTATATTTACAAACAAAATTGTTTTTATTATATGGCAAGCATTTAGAATATAAAATAATATAACATAGTCTAATTCGAAAATGTAGGTAGACTGCAATGACATGCCTGATCACATAGAACTAAATAACAACAAGTGCGCAGATAAGCTCGTAAGGACGAGATCACCCACTGAATTCTCTGGACCGGAGCCTTATTATGGTATACGTTGGTTTATAACAAAGTATTCGATAGAAAAATGTTTTGTACCCGAAAGAAGCTTCTACTTGTGCGACCCTCTAGGAATTCAGGCTAAATAGCTAGTACATTTATACAATAAGGTGTTGTTTCTGTTGAAGTTAAATCCTACCACAATGTTAATAACATTACACATATATAGATATTTTGTCAAGCTTTAATAAGCTTTTATTTAGTCTTACATAATTTAATATAATAAATAACGACAGTTGTGATTATACACTCGAAAAGCAAACAACGCGTTTTATTGTAAAGGTGTGTTCTACATTTGATAAATTCCAACAGGTTATGGGCCCAGGCTTAACTCAAGTAATATGAATTCTATATATAATATTGATAAACTGGATGAAAACAATTACGACTCATGGAGTATCCAGATGAGGAGTGTCCTCATACACCAAGGGCTCTGGTGTGTCATAAGTGAAAAAATGCCTGAAATGACCAAGGATGGAAAAGATGTGGATATATGTGAAAAGTGGAGACTGAACGATGAAAAGGCGTTGGCGGTAATAACGTTGTCAATAAAAACTTCAGAAATTGGACATATAAAAAAATGTAATACCGCAAAATCCGCTTGGACTGCATTAAAAGAAATTCATCAGCCCACTGGACCGATAAGAAAGGTATCTTTGTTTAAGAAAATGATATATATGCGCATGAGTGAGGGTGATTCCATGCAGCAGTATATTGCGAGCTTCGAAAAGGTCATTGAACAACTTTCAGAAATTGGCCTTGAATTGCAAGAAGAATTGTTTGTAATAATAATTTTAGCAAGTTTGCCAAAAAGTTATGAAAACTTTGTTGTTGCGTTAGAAACAAGAGATCAGCTCCCAAAGCTTAGTGCTTTGAAAACAAAATTATTTGAAGAAAGTGAGCGGAGAAAACATAATGAAACAGTCGAAGCAGATGGTATTGTACAAGCATTAGTTGCTACAACAAGCCATAAATATTCCAACAACGAGCACACCAAAAGATATAGCGGAGGTAAAGGAGATAAAAATTTTAGAAAAAAGAGTAACTTTAAATGTTACAAATGTGGGAAGAAAGGCCATTTCGCTGCAGAATGCAGATCAAGAGAAACTTCTGTTAAGAGAACTGAAAAAGTTTCTGGAGAGTATTCGAAATCATTTTTTTCTGTTTTTGGAGTAAGTCAAAACACGGTACTAGATAAAAAAGCTTGGTGCTTGGATAGTGGCGCAACTTCTCATTTGTGCGCGCATCGTGAAATGTTTGAAGATTTTGAGCAGTGCAATGAAAAAATAATGCTTGCAGGTAATAAATTTCTCAAAGCTATAGGAATTGGTAACGTGAGAATAAAAAGTCACATGGGTGAACTTATATAAAAAAATGTGTTGTATATTCCGGTATTGCAATGTAATTTTGTTTCTGTAAGCAAGGCAGCAAACAATGGTTACAAAGTGACATTCGAAAAAAATAACGCGTATATTTATGATCAAAACGGTGAAACTGTGTTAAAAGCAAAGCAAATAAAACAATTATTTTTTTGTGAAATATTAAACGAAACAATCGATTTGAAAACGCAATTGTTTTTTAATAATAATGCAAATGATAATTTAGTTCTGTGGCATAGACGGTACGGACATTTAAATATTAATAGTTTAATCGAATTAAAAAATAAACAACTAGTGCTGGGTTTAAAATTTGATTCAGATCAAAAACATATAAACTGCACAGTGTGCCTTAAATGCAAATGCAACATTAAACCGTTTCAATCGTCTCAAAGTAAAACGAAAAATATTTTAGACTTAGTCCATAGTGATGTTTGTGGACCAATAAATGTTAATTCAATCGGAGGATCCAGATACTTTGTTACTTTCGTAGACGACAACTCGCGGTATATTTTTGTTTATTTTATAAGGCAAAAATCAGAAGTTTTAAATGTTTTCAAATCATTTAAAAGCTTGGTTGAATGCCAAACAGGTAAAAAAAATTAAAATGTTACGTAGTGATAATGGCACTGAATACGTAAATACAGAGTTCAATAATTATTTGAATGAAAAAGGTATTCATAGACAATTGACTGTGCCTCATACTCCACAACAGAATGGCGTTGCTGAAAGAGTCAACAGAACTTTAGTAGAGATGGCACGAAGTATGATCTTAAACGCAGGTGTCGACGAGAACTTCTGGGGTGAAGCAATTAACACTGCAGCATATATAAGAAATCGATCACCAACAAGAACAATAAAGAACTTGACTCCATATGAAGTTTGGTGGGAAAAGAAACCTGTGGTAAGTCATTTGCGAGTATTTGGTTGCTTGGCGATAGCTCTTGATAAAACTGAGAAAAAGAAATTTCGACCAAAGGGCAAAGAAATGATTATGGTTGGCTATGCAGAAAAATCGAAAGCATATCGGCTATATGACAAAATAAATAAAAGGCTTGTTGTAAGTCGCGATGTGTATTTCGTTGAAAATTTAAACGATAATAGCAATATTGATCTCCTACCTTTATTAAGTGCAAGTAATCTTAACCGCTATATTCCAGATAATGAATTTGAAATTCCAACTGAAAATCTCAAAAACAGTGAGGAGAACGGAACTGCCAACAAAGAAAGTAGTCAAATGAATACACCACAGGAAGATGATATACCTGATGTTCCAGAATCCGAAGACTATACTGGTACAAGAGCTGGTTATAATTTAAGACCAAGGCCACAATGTGATATTGTAAACTTAGTAGCTCCAGTCAAGACGTCATCTGATATAGTAGTCCCAGAAACAGTCCTCGAAGCTCTACAGAGCGAACAGTCCGCTTACTGGAGACGCGCTATGCAGGAGGAGTATGATATATTGGTAAAAAATCATACATGGGACGCGGTGAAGCTGCCAACAGGGCAAAAAGCTATCGGCTGTAAATGGGTTTTTGCAGTGAAATTCGATGCAACTGGAAACATCGAGAGGTACAAAGCACGATTGGTCGCTAAGGGCTGTAGTCAAAAGTACGGTGTTAATTATACTGAAATATTTTCACCGGTAGTGAGATATGAAACCATAAGAATGATTCTAGCTATAGCAGTAGAATATGAACTTCATGTCCATCACCTTGACGTTTCATCAGCATATTTGAATGGTAATCTCGAAGAAACAATTTTTATGGAGCAACCGAAATTATTCGAGAAAGACGATAATAAAGTGCTTCAGCTCAAAAAATCTTTATATGGACTTAAACAGTCAGGCCGAATGTGGCATTCCAGATTGAATGAGGAATTGGAGAAAATAGGATTTGTGTCATGCCGAAGCGAACCATGTGTATATACAAAAAATAACAATAATTGTTTGAATATCATCGCAGTGTATGTGGATGATTTGTTACTTGTGTGTACAGACCTAGGTGAGTTGGGCGCAATAATAAAGAAAATCTCTAATGTTTTTCAGATAGTAAATAAGGGTCCTATAAATCATTTTCTGGGTATGGAAGTGGAGCGTGAAAATCCAACTGGTGCTTTGACTATTAGTCAAAAACAACTTGTATTGCAGCTCTTAAAGAAAAATCGTATGAGTGTGTGTCGCCCAGTCTCTACCCCTCTTGAGACAAACTTTCAGGTACATTGCATAAATGAAAGTTGTAATAAAGTTGATATAACGGAATACCAGTCATTGATTGGCTCACTAATGTTTATTGCTATTAATACAAGACCTGATATATTGCACTCAGTATGCAAACTAGCCCAGAGAAATTGTAATCCCCACTCTGAGCATTTAACGGCAGCAAAGCATATTCTACGATATCTTAGCAAAACCATCGACATGAAATTGCATTACAATAAGAGTGGTGCAGCAATTAAAGCGTATGTAGATGCAGATTGGGGAGGCGATGCAACTGATCGAAAATCGTATACGGGCTATGCGTTTATCTTGGCAGGAAGTGTATTCAGTTGGGAGAGCAAAAAACAGACTACAGTGGCTCTGAGCAGCACAGAAGCGGAGTATATGGCGATTTCTGCAGCAGCCAAAGAAGCTATATATTTAAAAAAACTTTGGTCAGAACTAATAGGACTTAGTGATATTGGAACAATTATGATAAATAGTGACAGTATGAGTGCTATGATCAAAAATCCTGTATATCATGCTCGCAGTAAGCACATAGATATAAAATATCACTTTGTTCGTGAAGCATATAGTAATAAAGAGATTGATTTACAATACTGTCCAACTGATATAATGTTGGCAGATATCTTTACCAAGAACTTACAAAAAATTAAGCATTGTAAATTAACTATGGCTCTTGGATTAAAATAATGAATGATGAATGATATTTATAAAAATTATTGAATTGATGAAATTGTACATATTATAAGTTAGTATTTTATATTGTAGTAAAATGAAGTATATTATTTTATGTTATAAACATTGAGGAGGAGTGTTGAAGTTAAATCCTACCACAATGTTAATAACATTACACATATATAGATATTTTGTCAAGCTTTAATAAGCTTTTATTTAGTCTTACATAATTTAATATAATAAATAACGACAGTTGTGATTATACACTCGAAAAGCAAACAACGCGTTTTATTGTAAAGGTGTGTTCTACATTTGATAAATTCCAACAGTTTCTCAGTAGAACGGAAAAAAGGTTCCTGGCTGGTTAACTTACAAATTTTTGTAGTGCGCGTTATTATCTTAACAAGACAGAGTGATATTTTTGATTAGCTAAAGAGCAGATAGGGTGTCGTTACTGTTAGCAGAATGAAATTGCGATTAATGGCAGATTATCTAACTGTCATTATGGCTAGATTTATCATCTTAACAAGAACAAGAATATCGTCCCTGATTTGTAGGGAATGACACATCTAGTCACAGCTTCCCTTATTGCCTGCTTTTGAAATGGTTCAGCACGAGACTGTTAGGTTGGAAGTTCTAATACTCGTCCGAAGTTAGGATGTCTTTAACAACTGACATTTAGTTTTTCATTTAAAAGTCGAAATGTATAATGTTCACTTTGGGTTCGAAGCTCGAACTTATAATGTCTTTAACAGCTGATATTTAGTTTTTCATTTAAAAGCCGGAGTGTCTTCTGTTCAGTAGGGATCGGTAAGATACACAATCGTGGTCAAAATAATCTGCTCTATGGAAACTAGTACTCATACATATTATTCTATTTTATAACATTGCATACTTAACTGACTTACTGAACTGTTATCTAGTGATACATTTAGATGTTTACTATAAATGCATCATTTTCTTATTCATATTTTAAGCACAAGCCCTTTATTATTTTAAAATATGTTAAAAAAATTTTTTTTTGTTAATACCAACAAACATAATTACAATATCTAACAGTTCACATAATTTCGTCAGAGGTTAAATACAAAAATATTAATTTGCAAAATACAAAACCCAAAAATGTCACTAATTATTTAATTAAGCAAATCTGTTTTTATCCGTTTTAACTTTTTCTAGCAAACTTTTTCATTATAATATTTTATTGATAAAAGTAAAACAAAGTTCATAAGTAAATTCCGAACAGCCGTTCATATTTGCAATTTTTCTTACAAATTAAGTAAGTAAGCAAAGACAAAAAAAAAAACGGAAAAAAAGAACAACAAATTGTCTACCATACTTCACATTCCAGCAGAATGTAAATAACAACTCTGTAGCTTCCAGGCATTCACAAAAATTTTCTAGAGTAATTATTTTTTTTTCCTATCCACCTTGCCCACCGCAGAACGTTACTCACTTGGCGTTCAGGCTTTACATAATTTGCAAATTAAAATAATTATTATTATCCTTTCGTGTTTTGCTTATCAGTGCTGCTGTGAATATTTTCATTTGTGGAAGAAGCGAACCTGCTGCCATGCCACAAGTAAAAGGATTCCACAAAAAACTACAGCAGAAACCAAATACTTTAAGTGTTGGCAAGAGTAGTAATAAAATTTGCATTTAGCCCGCATTTTTGCACCTCAAGGGTTTTTATTTTTATAGTAAGAAAATTAAATAGAAAATCGTAAGTAACTCTTCATACTGCGCATCTCTTTGGCAATTTACTAAAATCCACTTTACTACGTTTTCCGTCATGCTACTACTATCTTTCCTCATTTACTGTTTACTGCTCTATTTCAATGCGCAGCAAAGCAATACTTTTCTTTACTTTAGTACTTTTCTTTTCCTTTCTTTACTTTCTTTACTTTCTGTAGGTTTTAAGTAGAAAAGTAATTAATTTTTAAGACGATTATCATACCTCGTATCTGCTTTTTGTCCCTATTGCTTTGCTTGCTACCTAACTACCTAACTACATATTTCATTTACTATTTCTATTTTAAGCTATTTATTCATTTTTCTCCTTTTTTTTGTTTTATTTTTCTCTATTTTGTCTATTTTCTATATCTTTTTTGTCATATAGATATACAAAATTTATTCATTTTATTTCTGTCGTTCAAGTCGTTGAAGTCGTTTTTATCGTTTTTGTCGTTTTGGATTTTTATATTCTGTTATTCGGTGTCATGCTAAGCTCCAACACTTAAGCGTATTTTGTATGAAATCTCCATTGCTGCTTACACTTGAAACGAAGCCGTAAAGGATCTGCTTTTTTGTTCCACTAATTTGTAGTGTTGCATTAATAATGCACTCCTCAAGTTGCCTAATGCGTTTTAAATGCGATGAAAGGCGATAAGAGCACATTAAGTTCAACGATGCTTTGTACTTTTAGGGTTAAAAGTGTGCATCAAAATAAGATTTTGAGTACAACTTGAAGGATTTAATTATTTATTGCATGTAATGAAAAACGAACATGGAAAATTAATTTTTTTTTATATTTATAAGTGAGAGGTTTTTCACAAAGTACTTCGTTATAAAGATGTAATAGAAGAAAATATTGTATTAATTTAGTATCAAAATAGAATTATAGAATTGTAAAATCAGATAAAAATATATAACAAATAGAAATCAATTCGGTATGAAATATATTGATTTATTTGGTTCTTTACACTAAAACTAAATATTTCATTTTTATAATATTGAATATATATTTTATTAAAAAAAACTCAATTTATTATTAACCGCTGGATTCACAAGCAGCGACAAAGTTAGAAGTAATGAATTGTTTGCATTGCATTTAGGTCCACAGACATGAATTGGTTATGACAAACCATCGATTGAAGGTCGATATTATTGATAAACTAAATCTTAACACGTTGAAGTTCGCATTAAAAAATCTTATTTCTCACATAGGCATTTTTTTAATTATTAATTACTCCACTTACTTAATTACTTAATTAACCTAAACATTTTTAGAATTAATGGTAATTAAATAAAATATGGTTTTACGAAAACGGACTTGGCATTAAACATATGAAGCTCAAAAAATCCAGTATTGAAACCACTGCATGTTTGGTGGTAATATACAGATATAATTTATTATAAGTTACTACGCTTTACCCATACGACTGATTTAAGTCTTTATTGTCAGCAGTGAATACAGTTCGAGTAAAATATTGAAAATAAGATACTAGAATTATGCAAGAGGTTGTGCTGTACTTATTCATAGCAATACGAGTCCTTTTCTATTTTAAAAGACAGACTAAAATGCAATTATTTTAGGTACAAAGTGTTATTTCATTCACCAATTAGTCCTACCATACATTGTCAAATTATTATTTTTTCAATCGCTACATCATTCACACACTGGTTATATCGATCTTAAGATAGAAATGTGATAAAAACTGTATTTTTTCAAAGAAACAAACTGGAACTTCTATAAAAAGGAGTAAATATATATAAAATAATTTTTGAGTGTAGATTCGTATTGGCATTACATGACAGAGTTTTTAATGTCATAAATATTCAACAAGTTATTAGTCGATAAAATACAAAACGGATTATGAGTTGCAGATTAATGGGGTTGGTGATAGTTAGCAACTTTTCTCCCCTCTCTAGGTTCACCTCATTTAGGTATACTCAAAGAACTCGGCAATCTATTTGTCAATTTTTACAAAGCCGTTTGTTTTTATTTCATGAAAGTGTAATAGTACAGATGTCATTGAATCTTCATTCCGTGCTTGAATTCCTTTAAGAAAAGCCAAATAATTGTCGAATGCCTTAGACACTCCAATGTTGAAACACATAGTGATGTTGTCATTAAAAAATATCTATCCATATTAGAATTGGGTTTATGAATAATCAATATATGTAAATCATTTTGACTCTAGTCTACTTTTGATATCTATTTAAATCGATTTGAATATCGATTTAATGTGTTTACTTATTATTAAACAATAAAATCATTGCTTTTCGGGTGATATTGTGAATACTTATTTATTTATTTATTATTAAAATAGAATATAAAAGAATATAAAATTAAACTTTTAAATAATAAGTTTAACTTATGAAATTATTTTATTAGTAATTTTTGAAATATTTTATTATTTATTTTATCTCAAATTAAAAACAATAACACAAATATTCTTAATATATTCTTAATATAATCTTAATATATTCTTAATAGCAATCATAAAATGCTGTTCGACTTACCTTAACATAAGTTCTTTCTGTATCAACCAATTCCAGAATGACCTTTCGTAATTTCTCAGCATCTGTTAGTTGTCGAGATGGTGTTAGTGCTGTGTTCGAGACTGATGAAGTAACCGAACCAGTGGGGCTTGATTTGCGGGTTTCCTGAGGTGAACGACAAAATCCGGTAACCTTAAGCGTTGTACATCAAAATTTATGTCGTAGAAGGCGCAACATAATTGATGATGAATGTAGATGTGAGCGAAAGTAAAATATATAGAGAGAGAAAGAAAGAAATGAAGTTAGCATGTAAGGTGTGCAAAGACAGTCAAAGTGTAATTGTGGATGGTGCAAAGGTACTTGGGTTTTGGGGATAACACAAATTGTGTCGCCTACTACGTTACTACCAAACACTATACACAAGTATGAAAGGCATGATCTTCCATGATTTTGTGATGACATCTATATGATGTAGACTTACTTTTTTTCGTGATATGTTCTAATATGATATGATGAAAAAAAAGTTAATTGCTTTTGTTCTAGGGTGTCAGTGTCGTGTGGTTTGTATAAAGACGACGTGCATTTCTTGTTCTCATTTCTGTGCTTTCTTTGAAAATGTGGACATTTTGTAAAAGATATGTGTATTTATGTATGTGTATGTTTATGCGATGGTGTTTCTTGATGTGACACAAAAGCATTTGACACTGACAGTTGACGCTTGACGCACTTTTAACACAATAGCGTCAAGTATTTGCAGTTCAGAAGTGTGAATGAATAAGATGATGTGGGTGTGAATAGGGGCATATGCATGCTTGTGTTAGGTGTAGCATGAGCTTTGCTTTGTGTAATTTATATAAATGCAGCGCTACCGCTCTTTTCATTTATTATTTTACACTTTCACACACTTTCGGTGATTATGTAAATTATTTTATGCTTAGTTCTGCAACTGTGATTTGCATAAGAGGCATGACCACATTAGAGCTTAGTTTTTAGTTTGGTGGCAACTACTGCAATTGCTATTAAAGCAATTGCTATTGTTGCAGGCTTTTGTTTTGTTGGTTGGTGTTTTGTTGCTGGGAGGTTGGTTGAGTTGTTGCTTCCTAAAGATTTTTCTTAAATTTATTTTTGGATTTTGTTATTCAAAGAAACATATTTTTAAAATTTCCTTGAAACTCTTTGCCAACACTGTCAACTTGATGTGCTGGAAGGTTTTCTATGTCGGGTGTCTCGTATTTTGATAAATAATCTCTGAACATTTTATCTGATATTTGCATGTACGGTTATATATGTAAATGTTTCTAAATGAAGTAGTTTACTTGAGTTAAGTACACTTGTAAAAATTTAAAAATAAATTATATTAAGTTACTGTTACTGCTGACTTATCCTTGTGCACATAAATTAGTACATATTATATACATAAATTAGTTGCAAAACAATAATTTTAAAGAAAAACTGCAGGTATATTAAATTGTGTTATTATTGAATATTCTGCGTTATTAGTCCAATTCAGAAAGCAAAGTTCTGCAGAGAATTGTTGTACTCATATGCGAAGAAGAGTGATGCTGGAATCACTGAAACCATGACCTGTACGTGCTCTGTTTTGAGATAGATAGAGTCATAAAAGTTAAACTACATAAAAATTGGTTATTGTAAAAGTCATGTTATATGGACAGTCATATGATGAGTGATAGTGGCAATTTTACGTCCTTTTTGGTCATGATCAAAACTCATGTTACACGGAGTGAGTCACATCATTATTGTTAATTTCTTACTTTTACTACTAAATTTTAATTTCTAATGTACATCAACAAATATACAAAATTACATTATTTTTTTTATTTCTTGATGATTTGTTAAAATATATTTTTATTTTTTGTTGTTGTTGTGGGAGTTTGGGAGAGTATGTATTGGGATAGGTTGCATGCTACATAATGCTTATGACGAATGTACAATATGAATCAACGCACAACTACAACAACACTTTTTTAACATAACTTAGTATACTAAATAATTTGTAATGTTTCAATCTGAATTTTTAAATTTTTATTGAATTTAATTTTGAATTGTGTTCTAATGGTTGCCATTTTCTAATAGCAAAACTTCTCGCTGCACTTACCTGTTCCGCAGTTTTCAACAAATTCTCAATTTCGAAACTGCTGGTGCGTGATGTTGGCTTGGTGCCCTGTGCGATCATTTGTGGTGTTGGCTCTACTGATGATGGTGCTGGAGAGCTTTCCGCTTCCGGTGAATACAAGTCCTTGCCAGTGCCGTCTTAGTGTATGGCAATTTGTAATAAAAATGGCAAAAAATACGTATATTTTATAAGAAAATGTTAAGTGCTTATGTGCTTATAAATATTTTGTGCTGCGTACGGAAATGTTGTTCGTGGTCTGTAATTGTAGAAGCAATTTTATGCCATACATTGCAACTGCTAGTGCAACTGCTGGTAGTGCTAGTCAAACTACTTATGCTTTAATTTTACACCATTTTATGGTTTATTTGTAAAAAGCTTGACTTCAAAATGTATTTGCTGGTCTGTTAAATTTTCTGCTTGTACTAAAAAAATCTGTGCTAAGTTTTAAATTTCTATTTAAAATTTAAATTTAAAAATTTTTTATTGTAAATTTTAAAATTTTTTCTATATACATTGCAACGACTGGTGAATGTGAAACCATAAAGTTGGTGCATATGCAATGTTGCAAAGAAACATATTTTAGAAGTTGTACTTTTTTGTTTGATATATTAAAAAATTTTAAAAAATAAAAATACTTTCAAAAAAAAAGTTGTAAATTTAACTTAACAAGTTGTAAATGCAGCACTTGTTGTAGTTAGAGTTTACGAGAGTTTACAAAGTGTAGTTAAACATTAATAATTGTGGCACGTACGGTTGCTCACAACTCCAATAGTTGCAATTACAACAAAATGAACACTGCAACAACAATGTTTGTGCTGGCAGAATTGTAGCAAATAAATTTACTTGCAACACTTACTTAAATTATGTGCAATATGCCAAAAAATTTATATATTGTTGCAGCATTTGTTGCTTGCAACCAATTAGAGCAAATTAAACGACTGTTGCGTTACCACAGCTCAATGTGTGCCTATGTAAGTTTGTGCTTCTCAAACGGCAAATAAAGTTTTCATACAAAATGAAAATGGGAGCATATTTGAAGAGGAATGTGGAGTATTTTTTGGCATACATAAAAGTTTTTAAAAATGTATGTGGTTTTTAAACCCTCAAATATGTGTAATATTTTTCAGTAAAAGTCAACATAGTACACAAACCAATGCAATTTACAACAAAATCGGTTCAGAAAGCAAACAATGCAAGCAAAACTTAAAGCAAAGTCGAAGCTAACAATGTACAACAACACCAATCATCCACAATTACAATAGCAACAACAGTAAGGACAACATTTTGCATACGCAATATGTGTAGCAGAACACAGCGAAGTGTGCTAAAAACTATATGGACAAATATATCTACGTTTACACACTGCATTCGGAATAGTGTTGTTGTTATTCCAATTATTTGATAATCGAACGAATATTTTTCGGCGAATATAAATAACCGGATGTACTTCAAAAATACAAATAGTATTCGTTAAGAATGTATAGATATAAGTCCGATTATGATTCGTTAAAAAATGTACTATAGAATAGTGATATATAGTAAAGTGGTTTTTAAATGATTTTGAAATATATTTTGTACAGAAATATATCGCGGTATATAATAGTGGTTTTTATCTTGGAAGATACAGATTTTAATATAATTGCAATCCAGCAATTTTTTTTGTTTACTTTTAACACATCTTTTCAGTAAACTATGTTTGGCAATATATAAAGACATTTCCCGAGTAATAAATATTCCCAGCAATTGAAGCTATTACGTTTATCCAAAATGACTGTTTAGTAAAAAATATTTACAGAGTGATATACTATTAACTTAAAACTGTTTTAGGATTTCTTCTGAGCAATGCTTATTAAGTACTTATGTATGTCCAAAATGAGTGTTCAGTGAAAAATATATACAGAGTGGCATAAATATTGAAGAGCTTAAGTGTTATAAATAATATAATATAAATAATATAACCAGTAAATAATTTTTACTGAGTACTATACTACTAATATAAATCCACTTAATATTGTATATGAACGTATTTCTTTTAAAATGAGGGGAACCATGAAGTATTTTTTCATCTAAGTACAAACATGCATCCATATATTTATGTATATATATTTTTATGACATATAAACATCCGTACTTGTTGCAATAGAGATTTAATGAGAATTTGCTATATATCATATTTTCAGATAACTCAAGAAATTGAGCTATTGAGACAAATGTTCTGCGAGTACTATTATATATTGTCTTCCGTAATAAAATTAAAGTGTGGTTCTATAGATCGTTAAATTTAATGGTGATAGAATATGCTTCTTGATTAGTCTTTGCGAATTCTATTTGTGTTATATAGCGTTACATACTAAAAGTATATGGAGAATTGGAGCAACGAATATTGACTAGAATCATTTTTGATAATCATAAAGTTATATATATAATAATAAGCTATTTGAAAAGTTTCTGCAGTAATGCGTAATGCACTTTTAATCACACATATGTAATTAAAAATTTTAAACATCATTTTTCAAATTTTTCTTAAAGATACAATTATGCTATAACTTAACATAATATCACACAAAGTAGTGTTTTTTTCCCAGGAAAAGGAAATTGTTTCTGAAACTGCTTGACTTAATCATGACACATTTAATACAGCTTCAAACTCTTATTGCGATACAATTTTAGTTAGTAACGAGTTCATTTGTAGCTCTTTGACTAGAGTTAAGTATCGTGTTGAGTTTATAAACTGTTTTCAAAATTGCTAATCAACTAACAACAGCGAATAACTACAATAATTACTGCCATTCAACAGCAACAATAACAACCACATCTCGCTAATGACAACAATGGGGAACTGGCGCTGAGACCATAATGGACCATAATAACTATTGTTAACGCTAATTGGAAGTAGAGGTAAGGCACACACATAATGATGGAAGCATATATATTTACATATATATATATATATATAGAAGTGAACAAATTTGTCCTTAAACACATAGTACATATTAACTCATATGCAGCTGCTTACGTGCATAGAATGCTTATGTGGGAGCACTGAAAAGTGTTGCGCTTCTAAGTTTTGTAGTTTTTGGTAAAATTGTTCAAAATGCAAATTAGCCGAAAAGATTTATAGGTGAAAATAAGACTAGTTTTTAAGTAGATACTTAAAATAAGTATATTTGAAAAGACTAGCATGAAAGTTTCATCTGCGGCGTGTGTTGAGAAATGTGTGCAAACCGAACGTCAGCTCCAAATACAATGGAGTTGAAGTATTTTCTAAAAAAATATTTAAAATATTTATACAAATGTGTTTTATAATCCAATTGTTGAAAATTTTGCTCAGCTATAATTAAAGAACAGTAGTTGGATTGAACGATTAAACCGTTTAATAATTGTGAACATCATATAGCATAGCTTTTTTCACAAAAACTTATGCTTCAGAATGTTTCATGTGTACGTGATATTTTGGCAGTGATTGCTGTTAAAAAATCTCTACTAATTGCTTTCAAATTCCCTACAACTGCTTGGCTTATCGAAATGCGCTTATCAATTTCCGCACAGACTCAAAAATTGTATGCTGGTTTTGGCAGTTTTTTGATATACTTACTCCAACCAGGCGCTGGTACAATTAGTCCGGATATCATCTCCTCGCTCATTACTGGTGGATCAGATGGTGGCGGTGGACAAACTAATGAATCAATCATGTCGTCAGTGACGCGCATAATTCCAACTAGATCTGGTGGTTCTGTGCGAGATGAACTGAAAGAAAAAAATTAAAAAATTAAATTGATGTTGACTTGAATTCGTTGGCTTGGGTTGAGAACTAAATTTTTTGGCCTTTAAAAAAAAAAATTTATTTTTGGAAAAAATTATTTTAAATTTATTTGAAATTCGTTAAATGTGAATTTTTTGAATTTACTCTTGTCAAATTCTTTACAAATTGCAACATTAATGAAATTTTTGTTCACTGCACAATTTTTTAATTAAATAATTTTTAACTTTATGTGAAATTTTTATAATGAATACCAGAAAATGCCAGAAAATGCCAAAATTGAGCACGGCGATACCTTTCTCGTCGATTTTTCTCCTCGTTCTCATAAACAAAACAAAGTTCATAGAATTTCTCATAATTTTTTTTTAATTTACCGCATTTTCCAATTTTCATAAAATTGACCTTTTGCTACATTTTTGCATAATTTTTTATTTTTTTTTCTGCTTTTTTCTGCTTTTTTTCTTGATTTTTGTTTCAATTTTGCAATTTTTCGCTTTATGCATATAAAATACAGTGAAAACGTTGTTGAAATTCCTATTGACAGGAAATTAATGCAAATTGCGGAAAATGTCAGAAAGCGCAGATGCTAGAAAAAAGGGTTACAACGCTGGAGCAGCGTTAAAGTGGTAAAGGGATATGGAGGAAGGCATGCATTTCCGTCCTTGTAATAACATAATTTTCAGCTTTGGTAGTAGAGCAGCTGCTTTGCAGTGGCAGTTAAAACGTTAACTTGACTTGAAAATATTGTCAATATTTAAAAATTAAAACAAGAAAATTCCTGATGGAAAAATATTGAATTATTAAGGCCATGGCTTAGCAATGGCAGCGTCAATGAATTAAGGTGAGAAATTGTTGGAATTTCATTTCGGCCATTGTTGCGCTTTGCCACTGTGCCAGGAGTTTCATCAGGAAACGGAAAATTGTTGTTTACCATAAAATCGCAAAATGCGTGTCAGGTTCATCTTTTTTTTTTGGAATTTTGATTGGTTTTATGATAAAAAGTTTTTTTAAGTTATTTAAGTTTAGCATGTAGCAATAAATTTTCACTTTCAAAAGTTAGTGAAATTGTTTCTAAAGTTAATAGTAATAGAGAAATAGAGTTGTAATATAAGAGGTATTCCAAAAGTAACACTTATTAAGTTCTTTTCAGAGCATGCACTTTTCAACTAATAACAAAAAGTTTTGAAAAACACAAACTTCCATTACATAATGGACATGAGACCAAAATGGTTACTTTAAAAGTTAATTTTATTTAACTATTATATTCTAAAATAATTAAATTTATTTCAATATTTGCTTCAATTTTATAGTATCTAAAGGCAAGGAGCTGACTAAATTTTTATATTTCCACTTACTTAACTCTTTATTTTGAGCAATTTAAACTTGGCATATTTATAACATAAAATATCAGAATAATAATTAATTAATTAAATATAAATTTATATATATAACATTTATAGAATATATATATACCCAGAGATGATTTCATTTACTGTAAACAAAATTATAAGTTTCAATATAATTTTGTAATTTTTAATAACTGAATACTACGAAATTCTAAGAAGTTGAATTGTTGGTTAACAATAACTCATATATTTGCTTTTAGTGCATTTTAAAACATTTTCTTTACTTTGTAAGAGCAATGAGCATTTTATTAGTATTTCAAAAATAGGGTTTAATATTTAAGATAAGAGAAAATAATAGCAAAAAATCAGATCTCCTATTTTAAAATTTTACAATTTAAAATTTTCATGATAACTGTAGCGGTGTGTCAGTACCCATACCGACTTGGAAACGGTATTGGTGCCGGTACCCATATTGCTTTGTTATTACATACCCGGAGATTAGATTAAAAAGCAATTGTTTTTGTCAAACTGTTAAAAAGATTTTCTTCAGAAAATTAATATTTCGAAATTCTATAGCATTTGTTAATTTGTAGTCTTTCATAGTGAAATGCCATATAGAAAAAGTTGAATGAATAAGTTTTTTATATAATGCTTTAACACGCTTTGTTTCATTTTTTTATTATTGTTAATAACAAATATAAAAAAAATAATGATTTGTTTTAAAATAATTTTTATTTCATGGATATTTAGACTTTAGTCTAAAGTCATGATTAGAAAACTATGATGAATTTTTCTGATGATGACTTTAGGTGGAGTTTGTTTAACTGAAAGTCACGCATTTCAGATATAAAACTATTTATGGCTCTGATCGAAAGCCAATATCAAATCCATTAGAATAATTATCTCTCTCTTTCTCTATCTCCCTCACTCTCTTTTTTTTATTCCTTTAATGCTAATAAGGAAACTCATATATTATATTTGTATGAAACTATAACGGATTCTGGTCTGAAGCTAATATTAAATATACTGGAGTCTCTCTTTTTATCTTTTGCTGTCTTAATTTAAATAGACAATAGTCTATGGACTCTAAAGTTAAGATTGGTACCTAATGAAAGTGGGAAGTATCTCTAAAGGGAATTTACTGGTTTTTTGGAAAGCACGTGAGAAAGTAGTGAGAAGGTATTCTGTGCAGATGCAAAAACGAAAACGTTTTCTGATTGAATGAATTTCACGCGAGAACGATTTTAAAATTCCAAAAAAAAGAACAAATTGCACTACTAGTGTGAAAGTAGAACTGTGAAAGTCACTTCAAATGAATACTGTAGCATATATTAAAGGTATTATTATATTTATTACATTATGATAATAATCATTTTTGTAATAATAATATTAAGAAAAAGTGAATGTGATTCTAGACTATGCTAAGCCATTCAATTTACTAGTGATTAGTAAAAATTGAACGACTTTGACTGGATCCATTGCACAATCCTAGCATTCCATTGTCAGTTTATTCTTAATAAGCATTTATACAACATTTCTCTCACTCCATTAAAAATATCTCAAGAGAGGATTGTGGGTAGCATTTGAGTTAGTTCGAAAATAAATCTTAAGAACTCAGCAAGAAGGAAAGAAAATTTTTTCGTGAAATAGTGATATTTATGATATAAGGTTTAAAACTAAAAAAAAAAAAACTTTAGTTCAATTTTTACTAAGACTATCAAACACTTTAGTTGAATTCATATGATATAATGTATTGACAACTAATATGCTAGTATCGCTAAAATACAAAAAACTTGACATTTTGAAATATTGAATCTTGTCGTGCATTTATAAGATTTCGAACCATATTTCATTATATATAAAGAGGTACTTTTAGTGTCACTTAAAAAGTAAAAAGATGGAAAAAACCTAGAACTTGAGCATTGAAGGTTTGTTCAGTTTTGGCTACTTGTGGAAAAACGCGTCATAGCTTCTAAATTGACAGCCACGAAGTTCTAGTGGAACTTGCAGTCCAAACAAATTATATACGAACTATAAACTAATTAAAAAGAAATTCGAATATTTCCTAAGACCACTGATGACGAGTACGTGGCAATATTTGAAACAGCGTTCTATGGTCAGTCAAATTTCAGTAAACTAACTAAAAATTTTTGTTCTTGTTCTTGACGTCTAACTTTTAAATAGGTTCTTTACGTCATAAAGGCGCGCCACTCTCGGTAAGAAAAAATTAAGATTAAATAATAATATAGGTTTGTAAACGAATAAGAAAAGATTTTTCGTATTTCGATTATGGTAATAATATATTAAAGGTTTTTATTTTATATAAAAATAAATTACTGTTTGTTTCAAGTGGGTATATAATTATTGTAGTATATTTTCAGGGGCCAAAAAAATCTATCTGTATGGAGGAGGAGAAAACGTTTTGGTGTTCATAATTAGGATAGCATATCATAACTTTAATATAAGCAACTAAATAAGTAAGTAGTTTCTTGTAGAAATAAAAGTTTACATAATTCTTTACACAGCTGAGATGAATAAAATAACAAATAACAGTTCAAGTACTAATTTAACAAAAAGTAATATGACCCACATAATTATTTTGCAACAAAGGAATTATCCGCACATATGCAATTATTTGTTAGAACGCTTGTTTATTTTCTTTTACGCCTGTTTTTATTAAGAAGAAGATTAACGCCTACAGTGTATGGTTTCCTGAAACCTGAAACAGAAATAAATTGCAAGTGGGTGTGTATACAGGGTGTGTGTTGATGTATGCAAGGAAATATTAAATTGTTAAATGTATGAAACATAGCTGAGTAGTTTGTGTGTACGTTTTCTTAAGCCTATCCAAGCCAAGCAAACATAAACACATCTCAGACTACATCAAATGAGTTTGTATGTATTTATTTTAATTTACATGTTTGCATTTATATTTATGTATACGTGAGTTGTGCATGTGTGCGTGCCTTATGTCAAAAGTTATAACTTATTGTTAAGACCAACGTTGCTGTTATTGTTATTATTATAGTCCTTTCTGTTATTGTTGCTATTATTATTGGAATTGTTGTTGTTGTTGTTGTGTTTAGCTATGCATTGTTTTATTTATGTAATGGTTTAGCATGAATTTGTTTTTATATGAAACCCTGTTGTGGGTGGAGTGGCTGCGTTAGTTGCAAAGGTGTTAACTAATGCGCTTTTAATGACACTCAACATGAAAGCTGAACCTTGACTGCGATAACATTATTTTGCATAGAACAGGAAGAACATGTATTGTTACGAGTTGCAGTAATTGAAGTAGTTTGAATTTCTAGTTAAATGATTTGTATAAAGTTAATATTCTCAACGTAAGTTAAATTAACAAAAGAAATTACTTGAATAGTGAAATCAGTGAAGAGTCTTTTGAAATTACATACTTTAAAACAGCTTTTTCAAGATCATTAATTCTTTTATATTTAGTGTTTTTAAAATAAAAGTTTTATATTCTTCTTAAGTAATCTGAACATTGATATCAACAAGTTCTCTTATACAACACAAGATCTTAAAGGTTACTATGTAGCTATCAAAATGTATAGTACGTATGACTAGATTATTAAATGTCTAAAACAAAACATAAAACTTTAATATATTGTATTTAAAACAACTATTGATTCATCATTAAAATATATCAAATAGACAACTCAATCAGGTTTCGATGTGTTCAGCCCTTTGAACACATGCTTAATGCAACCATTAAAATTTATTGCACAAAACAGGTAGAAAGAACATTAGCACTAAAACTAAGCATCAAATTGTTGGAGTAATCATGATGAATGCGTTAGAAAGGTGTTGATAATGATGTCACCTTGCCATAGGTATGTCAACTATTTACAAAAGCTGTACGTAGAATACAAATAGAACATGGCTTTAACAATGCACTTAACTACATAACTCTTTGTCACATTTAAATGTGAAGCAAGCTATACAACTAAATGTGGTTTTTACAGTATTTTGTGATATCTTCAACCAATACCCATATTACACAGTTTGTGGTTACAATAATACATCCTTATGTATATATAAATATATTTATATCTAAATATGTAATTTGTGGACAATATTGTGTACAATTTGTACAACCAAATTATATTTAACATAAACAGAAATTGTTTTTTAATATCATATATATGAAGTTATGACATAAATAAATATGTAATTACGGATATAGGTTAAAGTTGAGCTATATGGTTGTCCAACAAAAACAACAAAATATTGCACATTTATATATACTAAAGAATACATATATCTAGATGTATATGTATTGAACAAATAAATGGAAAAAGTTCTTTGCAATATCGAAACTAAAATTTTTTCCATGAATATTAAAAATACAAAACTTAAATAACTTTTGTTTTTATCCTTAGTATATGACAAAAAAAAAGAGAACGGAATATACTTTGCTGTTATAATAAAAGTTTGAACGATAAACAGTAAAAGAAAAACAATTTACTTGTATTATACGATTTAACCAAGCATAAGACAAAATATTGTTACTACTGATACTAGTAAATGTATCCTCAACGAGTAACTAGTAACTAGTAACTTGGTACTGTATTGCCCCAAATATTATTATAAACTGCAGCTGAAACATTACAACTCGTGCGAATACTTTATCAACAGGAAATTTCCGTTCACTTGTCTATTGTATGATAAAGTATGTGAAATTTTATATTAAAAATTGTATTTATAGTGTGAATACTTAAAAGGGATCAAGTACATACAACCGACAACCGAATAACAGTACAAAACAACGGTTATAGTAGATATAACAAGCTGACTAAGGACTTTGCAGTAAACAGACAGACACAGACAGACAGACACCCACAGACGCATAAAAAAAACTGCATTTTGTAGGATGTCAACTGCAACACAAAACAAACGACACTGTAAATGTGGTTGCAATATCAAATGTTGCAATATTAAAAGACAATGCATGAGCTTGTGGATTGTTATATGGTATAGAGGATTTTCTTAAGAGCGCTACATTTTCTGTAAGCAACAAGGAATATTTAAAGCAGCTTGTCGCACAGTAAATGCTTTTTTTTGTTTTAAAAATATTGTGTACGCATTTGTTAAATTTAATCAGTTTTATTAACATAATGGTAATAGTTAAAATACGTTTCCGTATTATTAACACACTTTTTTCCATTATCAAACGCTATAATTAATTCTGAATGCTGTTTGGATCACACATAATCTTATCAGATTACGACGTTTTTTTTAGGACCTAATTTTTCCCTAACGATATAGTTAGTAGAATATTGACATTACCAATATTTAGATAGTGTAAGTAGTGGTACTGAATTTTACTTCGTTTATATATAAATTTTAATAGAAACCTTTTATATATATTTTAAACTCAGAAAAGTTGCTACATAAAATACGAGTACTATTCACAAATAATTACTCATACGCAACGAGTGCCGATATTTTGTAGCTGTTTGGAATGGCAGTGAAAATTATTTTCAACTTGCAGAATTTTCAATAAAAATTTTTTTAAAATTATAAAATTGTACATTGACAGACACAAATAGATTTAATTAATTGCAATTTTGCTATAAAATAGTATTATTTTTTTAATTTATTGATATTATAGCTCAGGACATATTCTGAATATATTTTTATCAATTACTAAACTTATAAATTTTTCTAAAATTTATCACACTTTTTAGCTGAGTCGACACTACCAACTAAAAGTTTAAGAAGACTTAAATTTATTTCTATTTTTCGAGTGACATATGCACAACCGAGTTAACCAGCAAAATGGATTTCCACTGCACTAACAGTCGTATCACACACTAGAGATGCGTGCATTCCAGGGTACTCAACCCACTGTATATATAACTTTTGCACTAGTTTGTATGAAATCGTATGTGCTTCCGCTTGCAACTGTCTGAATATTAGTCTAAGTGACAGCATTTATTGTGTTAAAAAAAATTGTAATTGATTCAACCACACTCACTCTTGCATACATACATATGAGACAAAGAGACAAAAACATAGATACAAAAACTATAAACTATACTAACTGAATCTGTCAGAGTGAGTAGCACAAATTGCCATTTCGGGTGGGTTTATATGTGTATGCAAGCTTGTGTCAACTATAAGTTGATTTATAACCTTTTTCTTGTTATGGTATTTATTTTTGGTTTGATTATAGTTTCAAAAGCACACACAATAATGCAGCTGATTAAATACGGATACGAGTATTAGGTACACATACATCACATTATGTGAAATTTTATTAATAACATTAAAAACATTATCACAAGATTTAAGCCATAAATTTTCTCATTTAATGCGTAATATGCAGTACACGTTTTAAACAATTTCCTTACACCTAACTAAACACTGTCATACATAATTTACTGAGCCATTCTTCGAAATACTTAGTTAAAGTTTTATGTGCCAGTGTTGTGAGGTGGTGTGGAGCAAATTCAGCATAAAAGAAATGCTATTATCTCGTGTAATTTGCCGCAAATTAAACAATTTAGTTAACTAATAAAAATGCAGTAAAAGGCACATACAGTCACACAGTTAGTCGTTCAGTTTCTGCCAATCCTAACTTTAATTTAATTTTCCTTGTACGAACATCGACGTAGCAACATTTGGGATTTCGTTTGGGTTGTGAAAAGGAGTAAGCAGTAAAGATTCTTTATTACAAGGCAACTCATAAAATTCTTATTAATTGCGCATAAAATTTTGTAAGTAGCTCCCGTAGGAATTTTGTGGAGTATCGGTAAGTGATTTAGAGAATAAGTCGAGTGAAGAGGATGAAATTTAAAAGGATTAAGTGAGGCAAACAGTTGTTAGTGTAAGCATAATTCATATATAAAATTGATTATATTGGAATTAAAATTAAGTTTAAAGTGGGTGAAATGTAAACTACAAGAACTCGAAGAAAGTAAGCAAATTCCTTAAGTGGATAAATATAAACACATTTTTTAAACTTGAAGTTAAGTACTGAATATAAAGAGTAAAGAATATTTATGCTCTTGAAGATATTAAAAAAAAATTAGTATCAATTTTAAGTCTTTTGTATTCTCTGTAAATTATGCGGTGTTTAATAGTTCATTTCATTTTTTTTATTATCTGTTTTTATAACAATTATATTAACAACAGATAGTTCATCTCTATTTAAAATACCCATTAAATAGTTACGACAATTACTTGTTGTACTTTACTCATCACTACTGTTACAGGTAATAATTCTAATTGTTACAATGCAGTTCCACCACGAAAGGTATTAGGAACTACATAGGTCCATATAGGCACTTCTCTTCTATATTCTCGAAATCGCTTCAACATTATTTAAGAAAATAAATAACTTGCTGATATAGTATATAAAAATGTGTATTAAGATTAGCAAAACTTTAAAATTGTAGTTAAGTAGGTGCTGGATATCATACTCATTGACTTTTGATCGTCTATTAAAGCTAAGTCTTAATCTACATCACTTGGAACTCAAAACAAATTAACAATAACTTAAAATAATACAAGCAAAACACGACTTTGGGTCAGTTGACTAATTCACACTGACTCTAAGCTTTAAATGTGACGGTGTACAAGTTTAATCTTAGGTTAAGTACATCAGTGGGTCAGTTGGCTAATTAGTGCTGACTCTGAATTTCAAAATTGTCAGGTTACTTAGTTTAATTCTTAGTACTTGCAGTCTAAGAAATTATAACAGTAGACATTAAGTATGATTTTGAGTCAGTTGGCTAATTAACGCTGACTCAAAATTTCAATTTTGACAAGGCACTACTTCAATTTTAGTTACTAACAGTATGGAAAATTAGTAACTTGTATAATTGTATGATGTTTCTTCGTAATTTTCCAATATATAATGGAACATGGTATATTTTGTTTAGTTTCCCTGAAGAGGACTGTCGAAGAAAGGCGAAATATTGGTAAAATATTTTAATAAAATATAAACTGCTTATAAATATAAATAATAAATTATAGTTTTTTTATTTCTATTTAAATTGAAAATTAGCTTGTCAATAAATTATTGTATAAATCGTATAAGAAATATTTCTGAAAGATCACTGATGATTGCTTTTTGGCAACATGCGAAACTGCGGTTTGGTCAGTTAAAAATTCAATTAATTAAAAATAAGATGTTGTAATTCACTACCATTTAAAACCTTTTTATTCTTTGGATTAATTTTCTAATTTTTTTTTTTGTTTTGATTACTTAGTTCCAGAAAGCATTTTTCTGAGGCGGTGTGTTTAAACAGAGTGTTAAAAGAATACAAGTAGTTAACTTCGATTACTAATATTTTAAGTAAAAATGAAGAAATCTTTAAAATAAAATATTAAAAAGTTTAGTATTTTTTACAAGACAGTTAAGTAATCTCTTTGTTGCTTTAAAAAGCAATTAAAATATTTTAAATGCAATTTATGTACTACGAATGTATGTCAGCTAAGCTCTGATACTTACTGTATGATAATGCACACAATAAAACATAAATTCCTTACAAAATGCATTTATGTGTAAAAAGTAAATATAATAATAGTACTTACCGCATCATCATGCTCAATGATTGCTCCTCCTGTAGGACACTTTCAAGATACATCATATCCAGATCGGATACAATTGCGCCATTGATCACCATTATCTCATCTCCCTTGATGATGCCTGCAAATGACAGTGCCATCGTACGTCAAATGTAAACGGAAACAAGTAAACCATGGAAAAGATAAGAAAAGAATTGTTATTATTTGTGGCATAAAAATATCGTAAACACACAATTCACAATCAACACAATTATATTTTTTGAAAATAACAAGCGCACATATGTGCACAAAACTATGCCATTTGTAGATGGTTTAGTAAGTGCACAGGTGCAGAAGACGCAGTCAAAGAATTGACAAGTGTGCACATAAGGAAAAAATGATTCTAAACCAAAGCGAGCAAGTATTCACGAATGGAACTGTTGAATGGGGGATTTTGGAATACAATAACGTATATTATGACATGGACAAAATGACAGCCAGCACTGGGACTTATACAAGTTGTAAGCATGTGTGAAACTATAACTCCATTGTCCTTTTTGTGGTGCAATAATGCAAGATTTTCGTGCCTGGCGCATAAGTAAGCAGCGGTTTGACTGGTGCATGCAGATAACTGCATCTGGTACTCTATTGTTGGTATTGGTATGGCAAACTAATATCTTTGACTTTTGTGTGTAAAGATAGTGCTATGATTTCTTATAGACACAACAAGCGACTCAAAACTGTATTGAAAACAACAAATAACGAACGTCCGTGTAGTTATGATTCATTGTGGTATATGGAAATTGTTGAGCAAGAACTTCAAGGAATGTGTAGTATATATTGTACATAGGAACATTGTGATTTAAGAGATGAACTTTGTTTTATTAACGTGTGAAGTTTTTTCCTTTATGGAAAGTGTATATATGTTACTGAGTAGACTTTAAGTGCACATGAAGATTTTTATACTTCAAATTTAAAAGTTCATCTTCAGTTATTCTCCCTTTATTTTTTTTAATTTTTCACTCTATACACACATTTCCGCTCTAGTAAATATTAGGACAGGGATGTTTGCGCTTTTCTTTTGCACTGAATTAACTAAACTGAATTCAACTCAATTCAGCGCAATTCAATTGAAGTCAAGTCAAGCTAACTTAAGTGAAGTCAACTCAAGTAAAGTCAACCCCGCTCAGTGTTTTTTACTTAAATTTGCATTGCATGCAAAAACTTTGCAATGTACGAGGCTGAGATACTGCGTTTATAAAAGAAAACTTCACGTGTTTAATGGCGTTTCCAATTCACAACCATTCAGGTTCATCAGTTCCCTGAGGACATTGCATACGCGTGCTTGTATGACAAGTATCACCAACACCAACAACAGCAGTGGCTCTTAGTATAACTCCTGATTCTGGTACTGGGTCTTTGATGTGCTAGCTTCTTAATTTTTTCTTTTTTCATTTGCATTATGAAAACGTCACCGAAAGCGCTTTCCTCGCAATATGCGGCGAAGTATCACACGCTTACAATGCTAAATACGCTCAAGTATTTCGGTAGAAATTTTATAACTACTTGACATTTTGTTGACGCATTAAATGCAAATGTCAGCTTAAGTTGATTTAAAGTGACAAAATAAAAAAAAATTGTGAAAATAAAATTTAAAGTAAAACAACAAAGGAAATCTCAAGTAGTAAATTTTAGTGCGCGACATATCAGTGGCAAGGAGGTTATGTGGGTTATATGGGTTGTATTAAGTATTTATTTAGCGCTATGTGTAATGAAAACTTGAGATCATATTTCTGAGCCTGATTCTTTTATGTAAAATAAAAATAGCAGTTGACTTTCTTTCTGTAGTGCCACTTCAAATCACTTCACTTTTTAAAGCGAGTGAAGAAGTTTATAAAAGTTTTTGACATGAAAGCGAAAAGTATTTAAAGGTAAATGCAGTCTAGAGGTACAGAATGTTGCGTTTAAAAGTTTTTCAGATAGTTATATTTTTCTGTGCAATAATCAATATTGCTGAAAATTAAAAGTATATTATAAACAAAACTCAGTATACGTTATATGAGAACCATTCTAATACTACCCCAAAAGGGTTTATGTGCGTTTAAACATTTACTAATAGTATTTTATAACCTGTAAATTTACTACTTAAAACTGAAAGCTACTTTGTAAATACAAATTAAAAACCTATTAATTACACATGGTTTGGTAATATTTACTCATATATATTAAATTTGATATATTTCCGATATATGAGCAACTAAGAGTTGTATTCAAAACGTATGTTATTTGTGTTTCTGGCCAATGCACATACGCATACACTATTCCAATATAAATTGAGCAAAGTTTCTGTTGAATTAATGATAAAAGACATAGATGAGGCAAAATTAAGCTTTCCGGCAAGTACAAATAGAAACTGTTTTAATAATCTTTCGGTTGCTAATATATGATACAATATATCTCATATGTGGCAATGGCAGTTTTCACTCCATTGGCACGTCAACAGCTGGTGAGTCGTACGAGGATACGAATATTGTTTGCAACGTATTGGATTGCATATGCAACTTTTGCATACGATTTTTAATGCTGCTTATTTGCGAAATGCAATGTGCGCAAAAGAAAATTCAATTTTAATTCCAATTATTTTCAGTATGGAATTTCAGTGCAGATGTGTGGAAATACGTCTCTACCAGGAATCATCCTAAGACCAATAAGTGCAGTAGCGTAACGTGCATGGCATGTATTGCATGTTTATGTGGTATATGAAACTAATTTGTAGGAAAATCTATATGAGAACGCAATGAGATACTTACACTTGCACTTTAAAATTTTAAGTAATTTTCGGCATGTGTATTGGCTACTACTGCAATGCAGTAAATACGAAATTTATGCTGGGTCATGAAGGAGAATGCAGTTTTATTAAACCTAGCAAAAGATTAAAAATTTTTTTCTTTAATTCTGTTGTGCAGAAGGCTTTTAAGCTTATTTCCATACACAATAAAGAAAATGTGTAAAAATATTACTCATACGCAGTGTGGAACGTTTAAAATGTTGAATTTTTAATCTGTCAGTGGTCTTAAATTGCAGCTCAAAGACATTCAATTACTGAGCAAATGTATAAAATATAACATCTTTATATTTATGTATATTTTAATATATTTCATAAAACACAGTCGTGCTTATAAACTCTTAGGAACATATATATGTATATATGGTACATATTTCGTTGACTTAATTTTCTTAAAATTTCGGTGCTGTTTCAACTTGACGTGAAAAAGCAGTGCTGAAATCCTTCAATAAAGCACAGTCCTTGCAGTATAAAAGCGTTAACTGTCAAAAACTTGAGCGGAAAACGGAAAATGTGGCGGATGTGTGTTAAATTAGTTGCCGCTTAACACAGAGACACCTACTTTCATATTAACACAAGGCACGTAGCAGTTTACTTTTCTACATTTCTCCCCATGTTCCCATATTAATTTAAAAACACGAATTTTTAAGAATGTTATAAATGATTATAAAAGATAAAAAGAAAATTGCGAAATGAAAAAATTATGTGTAATTTAGCATTTTTCCAGTCAAAAGAAAATTAAAAATATATAAAAAAATAAACTCTTTCACTTTGTAGGAAAAAGAACTGACAATAAAAACGCATTCTTATTTCATTAGAAGTACATATCCTTGTGTCCTTGTGTTTATAGAGTTCATACATATGTGCAAATGGAAAATAAAATAAATTGGCATAAAATTTTGTGCCAAATTGACAATAATAATTTTCATACAGCAAAAGGATTAATAAAAGTGTCCTTTGTTTCAATGTGGAAAAAAAGATTTTTTTATGCATCACTTTTACATATACAAGTTTTGTGTGCAGTACAAAGAGGACAAAATAAAGGGGCAAAGGAAGGATTTAACATGATTAAATGCGGGGCATTAAATTGAAAAAAAATATGAAAAAATTACTAAGCAAAAATTTTATTACTGGAACTTTTAAATTGGCTCGTTAAGTTTTATTCCACAGTTTGTTATCCGTTACTGAAATCAGTTTAATTCCTTTGTTAGCTTTCAGGCAGAAGTAAAAGCACTTCTTTTATTGTATTTTACTTCAATCAGAAAAATTCCTTTATTCAAAAAGCGATTGACGTATATGGTTCAGTACTTGACTTATGGCTTACATCTACCTATCTGAAGCAGGAGTACAGAAGCATTATGCGGAAGAAATTAGTACTAGCTGCACTGACCAAAGGTAAAATGTACTTTACTTTTACTGAATGAATTATAAACTTTAACTAAGGGTGCATATAACAAAAAAAAAGAAAATAATAACATATAAAATTTAAGTTTTAAGTAAAGAATATGTCATACATCTCATGATTTACATACTGTATAAAAAAATCTTATAAAATTGAAGTATTTTCTATTCAACTATTAAACCAACTATTTTGTAGTAACAGATGAACTTGTATATCAATTAATATTCATAAAAATGAATTAAATCAAAAGTAGTAAAAACTTTAAACATAATATGAGAATGTTATTGCATTTGTGCTATTAATCACCTAGTGACGTAGCCAGGATTGCGTCAAGAAGTGTAAATAGATAGAGTATAGAAAATATATTTTTTACAATGTTTTTCTGTAAATGTTATTATATTGTCAAGAGAGATATATCTCCTAACTCTGCACTGCCACTGCATACAACATGAAACCGTATTAGGGCACTCATAATTTAGACTAATGGGCTCAAATTTATATTTCGATTTTACACTATTACTATACTCGGCTACGAAGTTAGTCACTCGAAATTCTGAGTACTCTGAGAGATCTCTGACATTATTCGTCATTATATTCTTTTTAAAGTCAAATAAAATTATTCCTAGCTATTAATTTTTTTATGACTGTCAAGTCTAATACATTTATTTTAAGACTTTTTATTTCCTTCTCCTTTTTATACATGGATATATTAACACCAACAAAATAAAGCTCTATTTCAGTAATATTTTCATTATTCACGCCAGGTTTTTTCTTCGAAGCCTAGCATTTTTTGGGTTTTGTAAATTTGTCGTAATCAGTAAAGACCAGATTTAGAAAATATAACGCATTACTTTGTTTAAAAATCACTTTCTTCTTTACTATTTCGGGCTAGTCTTCTGTGGTTCTAGTGATCAAATGTTTACGTCAAATATAAGCAAGTCACTCTGTTAATATCTATACGATTTCAACTTTCTGATACGTCCGAATGCACTGGCGATGCACTGAGGGTGTTGGTTTATAAACACTATAGTAGATATGTGTTCATGAGGGTGGTGGAGCTTCAATGTGCCAATTAGGGGACTGGACGTCTGAACACCCACACAAATGTTAACGAATAAATTTGAAACAATTGAAAAAACTATTTTGGTTCTTGATTCTTAATAATGCTTTCCCTAACAAATAACCTTTGCTTTATATTTTAATATGAACATTCTTGAGGTAATCTTTACGAAGAAATGGTTTTCAATAATCAAATCAAATCCACCAAAAACGGAATATAAATAGATCAGTGCTTATTATCACGTGCTTATATTTATAAGATGTTTTTTAGGTAACAATCATTTCAATTACCGCAAATGTGACACAACACAGCCGGAACATTAATATAATTTGGACTTGCAAAGTTCATTAATACTTTTTTCTTGATTTCTTTATTATATAAAGTTTGTGCTTCAATTTAAATTTTAATTAAATTTTGTAATTTTCTATTATAATAGTAAAACAGTTTCATAAACTTTAATGGACTTCGGAAGGAAGTTCTAATATCTTACTTAACTACATTAAAATTGTTGAAATTGAAATTATATTTGTGCAGAGCATTAAGCATTTTTAATTCTATTCAACTATTGAAAATTAAAGCAAAACCTTTAAATTGTTAACTTTTAGAAATAAGAAATATTTCTGATAATTGTAAAATTCTATACATAATATGAGTAATATTTATCTTACTATTTGATCCTTTTGCTTGTTTTATTTGTATCGACAAATAAGTATTTGCTACTTTCCAATAAATACTTTTAGATATATGTATGTTGACTTTAAACTACTGTTTATAAGTACAATAATAAGTATTTATTTACCGTAATTAAAGTTCACTTTGAGGCTTTAATCTAGTAAAATGGATGATGTACCCACTATGTGTAGGCTAGGATTCCTATACATTTAATAGCATAGTAAAATGAGAATAAAATGCAAAACTTTTAACCACATACATATAAGGTATTTTAAATAGCATTTTTTATATAAGTTCATACAAAATTTTAATTAATTTTAATAAATTTTTTTATTTGTTTTATTAGTTTTAATCTTTTACAAAAAAAAAATATTCATATCGTGATTGTTATTTCAACTTTTTTCTACTTATTAGGTATCCTTTGTGTCACTATAGTCATTGGAAGTTATTAGTGTAATCACAGCTCGGAGAAGTATTAATTATATTCAAAATTATGGAGCGAATACAAAGGAAACTTTTTTTTTGTTGGAAAAAAAAAGAATTGGTATTAATTAAAAACTAAAGGAATATTTACTTTTTATTTCATAAATGTAATGATAAGCTGATAACATCAAATAGCTATCATGAACGCAAATAATTGGCAAAAAATTTAAAAACATAACAAGCTTCTCATTGTGGAAATATAAACAAATTTTTAAAATTGTGTTAAAAATTGTAAATAACAATAAAAAGTAATTCTTAATCCTCTTATGTTATCCAAATTTTTTTTAATTAAAAAAAATTATATGGTAAAAAATGTATAAAAATATTGAAATGCATTTAATTAAATGAAGAAGAAAAAATTATATAGAAAACATATACATTATTTTTATGCATGAGTTTTTTTTTTGAGTTTAATGCGGAAAAGGTAAGAGTATTTCTGGCACAAAAATCGCAATGGAGGAAATAATTTGTTTCTGGTAGCTGTATACTTATCTCAATTTGAATACATATACAGTAAGACCCCGCTTAACGCTGTTTCGTTTACAGCTCTTTTATTTCAACCCGAACATTTAAGTAAATGTTTGAAAAATCAGACGGAAAAGAGAAGTAATCAATAAGAGAATTTTGGAAAAACTATGATATCATGAATGCTGTAGAAAACATAAACATTTTTTGAAATGAGATAACAGAAAGATCTTTGAAAGGAGTATTGAAGAGCATTTGGCCAGTAAGAGCCGTAGACATTGGATATGGATGAAATAGTAGAAGAAATAGAGGAATTAGCGAAACAAACGGGTTTAGATGAGGTAAATGTGGAAAACATCGAAGAAATAGTTCAATAAACAGTAGCTAGTCTTTCTAATGATGAGCTTAAAGAATTAATTGCGTAAGAAAAAAAACAAAAGTATTGATAGTAGCGATTTCAAAGAAGAGCAAAGGGAACCCCTTTATTTACATGTTAAGATACTCTCGTTTAGCGCTTTTCGCATTACGCTCCATTTTGATGGAAAAAATCCTACGCGTTAAGCAGGGTCTTACTGTAGTAAAATTCATTTGTGTTTGGACTACAATTTTCAAGATTGTTTCATTGTAATTCAAATCATATATCTATACCATATTTTAAAATTCTCATATATTAGTTGCATTAATTTTAAATTTTAACTTAATCAAAGATTTAGTGCACTTTTTTCTTTCAAAGCATAAGTGTCAAGTCACAAATACATTCTCGTTGTATTATTGTTGGATCTATAATGGCACCCATCGGCTATGTGATGGTCCTCAACAGTTTGATGACTTCAAAACACTGAAGTATTTTTTCTTCAATTGCATGAAAACTTTCACAAGTTCACTGTCAGGTTTCTACAAAAATCATTTTCTTACCTTACATATTTTCATTTGAGACAACTTTGTTCTGTGGATACAGTCCACGCAGCTATTGACTTGACGAGGAAATTTTATTGAACCGATAATTATTTTTGTTCCAGTTTATTACATTTTTTACTAGGCTAAGTAGTATTATTGTATACTTGAAATTTTAAATTAGTTTCGACGATTTAGCCGAGATACTCCAAATTAGGAAATTGAGTCTTCATAAGATTAATTTTGATGAAAATCACTACAATTTTCATACAAAACATTTGCTATATGAAAATGTGAAGCTAATTTCTTTTAACCATTTCTAATCAGATAAATAGTATTTGGTAGTAGCTAAAAAGTAGATACCTGATTAACTGATAAGTAACAGTAAACGTAAGGGTATACTATTCTCTTCAGGGTTTCTAGTTCTGAAATCAACCAACTACTAGCCACCATCAACATTTTTAACTGTTTGTAGAATATCCAAAATGTGGAATCAAAATGGATCAGATGTACTCTCATTGCTGTTTGTGATACGGTGACCTTAGGTTTAAGTTGCTTTCTCAAATAATTTTTGTTTGATTGATATAAAAATATATTATCTTGTGATAGATTGACGAATATATTTTCCTTCATACTAATATATTTATTTAAAAGTTCATGTGAACTTTCTGCATTTTTTTATACAACAATTTCTCTATTTCTATTTCTGAGATATTTTTTCATTTAAACTGAACATCTTTTTCTGGAGTATTCGTGTTTGAAATGTATGAATAGATCGTAATCAGTACAATCAATTAATTGCTGTTACTTTAAACAACGAATTCGGTTAAGAGAGTCTATTATGGGACGTCAGCGTCAAGTAGTCCCCAAGACAAGTATATTGTAAAGAATATTTTAGGTTATTATTAAGTAGATTAATTATTAATAAGGCCGCTAAATATACTTGCAATGAAAGTGTATAATATGGATTCTATATATAATTTTAACAAATTTCCTGTACATAATTATTATTAAATGCCTCGATAACTATGTTCTTGGTATGTTTTTACCAAGAACTGTGGTATGTGATGCACAATTCTTGGAATTATCATTTTCTTGGAATAAATGTTCGAATTGCATTTGGTCTGTCCCCTGTTAAATTGTTTGTCAGGATACAATAAGTTTGAATGTTATTGTATATTACCACAACCTCAGAGCTGTCTGTTGTCCCTAGTGCAACACACCAGTGTGTATAACCTTAATAGCACAGAATTAAATGGAGACTAAATAACAGAACATTATTCTTTCATATACAAATTTTTTATATGAAGTATGTCATTCCAACCTTTAAGGATCGTAAAAGTTGAAATTAATTAATTGTGTTTTCCTTTAATTATGACTAAATTCGTTTTCGGCTAGGCAGTATTTTTCAGTAGCACTTCAAAATAATTATGAATATCTGCACAATAAGAGCATTTACCTTTACTGAGTTGCCAATAAAACTACTTAAACGGACAATATGTTGTTGGCTGTATATTCAGTTGAGTCAAGTATTTGTGCAGGTGATAATCATATTATTGTCAGCAATAATTTTAAATCCCTATGATTAAAGCAGATAAGTTCGAGAAGTTATATATTATATATATGGTATGTGTACATATATCTCATTGCTGTACAAGTACGAATGTGTTGTCGTGTCATATAAAAAATATTTTATTTTGTTGTGCAGGTTTGTGCTTGTATCTCTCGAATTCAATTTACGAGCAACAATTTTTTGTGTTTATCGAAATATTTTTACATAATTGCATTAAGGACATTTCCAGATACTCATGAATATATACGTTATGTACGCACAGTGCTGTCGTGATTGTTATATCTATCGCATTAATTCAATTTTTACACGATAATAAGTTCAGGAAGGACAAATTGCATTTCATGCAATCCGTGAAAAATGGTGAGTTTTTTGTTTTTTAATTTCATACGTCACACTTGGAACTTGTCAACATTTTCATACTTAATATTTTATCCAACATAAATTTGCTGCTGCTGCTTCTGCTGCTGCTGTTGTTGTTGTTGTTGTTGTTGTTGTCATTTCATTGTACTGATTGTGTTGCGTTGAAAACGCAAATTCTTTGTTAAATAAATAAAAAGTAATATTTCACTCACCATTATGCATTGCCACACTCTTATCCTCGACACGACTGACATAACAGCACAACTCATCCTGTCGTTCTGCGTTCTCAATAAGTTCTGCTTCCACGGAAAAGCCCCACATTTGCTCGAGTGTTGTGCGTTGCAGTTCGACTTGGTAAAGAATTTTCATGCAGACTTCAACGAATTCATGATTATGCAACTGAAATGTATAAAAGTGATGTGCTTAAGTTAAGTTTACTACGAAAAAAAGAAAAAAAAAAGAAGAAAAAAATTTTTAACAGTAAAAAAATCTTATACATTGAATTTTATTTAACATTTGGAATGCAAGTGCATTTTGTATGCATTTGTGATATGACAGCAACATTCTCACCGCTGACATCTGCTCCACAACGCTTACAGGACAATTACAAACAAGTTGTTTACTTGGAAATGTTCATTGAACTTATGTAATATTTAAAGGAAAATCAACTACGATTTTCTGATAAACGACGAAGGGAAAAGGAAGAAATTTACACAGTTTTCGTTTTCGTTTTCGTTTTCATATGAATCAATTTCCTCCTTCACTTCATTCTAATTGCAAACAAGTGTTTGTAGCGGAAATTGCCATTTAAAAAAGTACAGAAAACCAATTACAGTTCAAAAGAGCTTTAGGCTCTGAGGGTGGTGACGTAAACTGTTAAGCAGATTTTTGCAAGGAACAAAAAGATACAAAAAAAAAAAAAAATAAATGAAATTAAATTTCAATTTATTTATAATACAAAAAGCGTTTTAATCAAAATGATGAAGCTTCTTTTATTTATTTAGTTATTTTTTTTTTTTTTTGGTTTTTTTTTGTGTTCTTAATAAGAGTTTGTTGTCAACAAAATTAAGATGAAGCGGATTAACGTTGTCAACACGGCTTTAAGTTGATTTCATGTATTTTTTTAAATAATTTTATTTTTTTAAAAAATAATTAAAAACAACAAAACCAAATATTGAAGTAAGGATGCTGAAAGAAGGAAGAGAAAAACGAAATTATTTTTGAAAGTTATGGCAGAGATTTTAAGGAAGGAAATTAGAATTATGAAAAGTGTTTCTATAAGAGACCAAAGTAAATGAAAAATTATTACTTAAAATATTAGCAGAAAAGTTGCAAGGATTAAGATAGAATTTATTACCTTATATTAAATAGAAAAGTAATTAAATACATCTTATGCATTTATTAAAAAAACCACAACTAAACAGTTACTTATTATGTTGAGCATTTTCCGAGTTAGTGCATTTGGGCACTTTTAATCTTTGATAGCTGGGGGGTTTCTGCAGAGTCCCACCCATCTCACTATTTAATTTGTGTATTCCTTATAAGCTTCGTGATTATTCAATGTCTGCTCTAAGATCTGCGTACCTTCCCGTGCGGTTAGTGATTACTCTGAGATTAGATTAGATAGTGCTAAGCAGGGCAGCCTGTCGGTTTTCGCATATAGGTTCAGTGCTCTGTCCTATATGTATTTTTTGATCGGATCTATTCTAAGATTTCTTAGTATGTCTTTTAGCAGTTTTAAAAGTATTTTATTTTATGAAAGTTAAATACTTACATATTTAAGATATTTATATGAGACTCTGATTAAAAACAAAAACTTTAATATTATATGTTAGCTGAAAAGCTGCCCCGATATAGAAGGATATGTTAAGTAAGAAAATATATTAAGTAATTAAATATATTTTACATAATTTATTTATGAAACAATTTTTGAATACATTAGATTATTATTATGTTGAAACTTTTCCAAGTTAGTACATCTGGGCACTTTTACTCTTTGATAGCTTGGGGGTTTCTGCAGAGTGCCACACATCTCACTGATTAATTAGTGTATTCCTCATAAGCTTCGTGGTTATTCACGAAATTTTAATTAACAAATTAAATACGAACATAACTATATAAAGTATTTTGTAAAAGAAACAGCTCTTTTTATTGCAATAGTAATTATTAATAATATTATAATTATTTAATAATTACTATATTATTATTATTATTGCAATTATTTATTCTTTTAAAGAGTTTTTAGCAATAACTAAAATGTTTAAAATTGAAAATACAATATGACTAATTTAACCACAATTGTGGAAAAATATTTCTTGTATTAAACTTTAAAAAATATCCTTTAATATATGAAATTTATAATTACAAACCTTTAAAACTTTAAAAGCTATTATCTTAAAAAAGAGAAGACATTCGGAACTCCAAATATTACCAAAAAATAATGTCTTTTATTTTTCAAAAAGTTTTGATATATGCTACCGGAAAAACGTTAAAGCAAAATCCTTCCAAAAGTGATGCTCCTCCCCATGTCATTGAACTGAAAAAATGTATCTTATCCTTGTTATTATTTTTGTTGTTGGCATTGTTGATGTCATAAAAGCATTAAAACCGTTTTGCGGCTTTTTTTGGCAATGAAACATAAATAAAATCGTAATAAATTTGCATATACCAGAACGTAGATATATTTCCCATATGCAGGCGGCAGGCGGTAGGCAGCAGGCAGCAGCCAGTCAGTCAGACGGACAAATTTAAATGAAATCTACTCTTATGAAGCCAAATGATACAAATGCAGAAAACAGTATTTTAAATCAAAATATAAACAAAACAACATATTTACAGTTCTGCTTTACTCATTAAATATGATTGATTACAAGGAACTCAGTTTGAGATACTGGAACGTCTTCACATACCAACGCACGCCAAATATACGTAAAGTTAAATTGCTTGCAGACATTTTGCTTATGTCAAGTTTATTTGCGAATTTTATCTATTTTTCAGAATAAAATTATTACATATTGTTTTTCTTTGTCTGTTATAATCAACAACTCACATCAAATTCATATACATTTTTATATATATATATATATGTATGTATAGTGTATACTCGTATAAATATTTTGTAATTCGCATTAGGTTAGTCATCATCATAAATTCTTTTATAAAAAATGCATTCATTTGTCAAGTCATGGCTTTATGATTCCAATTTTTTATTCATTTATGTTTATTCCAAATATAACCAAATAAATATTTATTTAAATATAAATATAAATATTATGCAAAACAAATTAATGCTGATTGATGGAAATGACAATTTGACTAAATGCAATATTTCCAAAAAAAATATTATAGTTCATTTATGAAGTTTTTAATAAATGAATACTTGCGGTTGAATTGATGCAGGATTACTGTCCTTTGAAAAATTTATTTTAATTTAAAAATATTTCTAATAATATTTCTAATAATATTTTTAAAAACCAATTAAATTCGTTTCAGAAAAGTTTGAATTTATTAAAAAAATATTTGTGTTTACTTTTATTTATTAACATAAATAAGAGAACAATTTTAATATTAAATCAAATCTTATTTAATATCAGAAATTTAAAATTTAATGCATGAGGTACTAATGATATAATCATAATAAATTTGGAAATAGTTTTATAAATTATCTAAAGCAGAAGATTATTTACTCTTTTAAAATATCAAAATATGAATAGTTTGATTTTATATAAATACCAGGAAGAATTACATAGAATTGTTACTTACAAAGCAATAAATACTTAACAGTTTCAATATTAAATTTGTCATAAAGTCCTTAGTTAAATATGCTTTTTACTTAACTGTACTAGGTAAACAGCAACTTTGTTAGTAGTTAGGAATGTAGACGCAATTTAAAAATTTCAAAGAAAATTTAATTGTTGGCATCACAATCCACAGAATGATTGTCTTTTAATTAGAATCAAAATAGTTAATGTGCATAACCCGATCCACATGGTAAGTCTAACTCAGTGCACTTTGAAAATCCGCTAGCACACAAATTATAAAGAGTTTCGAACAAATTTTAGATATATTCATTATAAATTATTATACGTGCTTAAGGAGTTTTCAAACAGGACTAACTGAAGAATCCGAACAAGGACTTGTTGACGAGAATGCGACATCAGAATAGTGCGAAGAACTTGATTGAGCCTATGGAATTCATCACCACTATAACAATTCACTAATTGTTCTAATTCTTTGTTATCAAAAACTACAACAGTGGTTTAAAACTCAACTACTTCTTGAAAAAGGATTAGAATCGTTCCCTTTTAACGAATTAGTAATCAGTGTTATAGGTAAGACTATGCTATGCAGGCAGTCGTGGTCATATAAAATATGAAATTGGTGTTTTTTTATATATAAATTAAAAATTTGACATGTGGAGCAAGTTCGCCTAAACTCACATCACTATGGTTTTTTGAATTATATTAAATAATCACAACTAAATTGCTCATTAAGAAATGTTGACATTTTTGCTTTTTAGCAACAAATTATAATTAATTTCAACACATCCATTTACGTTCTAAAAAATATTATATTTTAAGTACAATTAAAGAACAACTAAAATGTATCAAAGTAGTACTAACAGCATGAGATTGACTGTTAAGATTTGACTGTCTACATAAAATGTCTTTCTGGTCATGACCAGAAGGAAAGTAACACTGATGTGAGTTTTTGTCATATGACTTTTTGAAAAACATTGCTTGAAGTGATCTAAAATATGATCAGTCTATTCATTTATTGCAAATATACGTACTAGAAGCTATTAAAGTAAATACTGTAGAGACTGTTTCTTAAATGTATTAACTATGCTTTTATTTGTTTAAATATCACGAACTTTGGATAGTCCATCTGTGAAGAATCCAATCTAATACAATAAAACATTGACTAAAAAGTCACGAGGCTTTTAGTCTTTTTCTAACATATTGATACCTATCTTATGGTAAGATTTATGCAATATTTGGGTTCAAATGAATAAGAAAAGCAGTTTTCTGAATTGTGGAAAAGTTGTTGTTCTTTGGTCAACTGTGAGTGAAAGCTTCAACCACTGCGAATATAACTTGCTAATGGACTAATTTCTGTCAATTCACTTTAAGATTTTTCAAAACAATTTGGTGTAGTTTTTTGACGTTTTTTAGTGCAGTCAACGATTTGGGTAACTACAACTAAAGCGTGATGCGTCATCAATATCTGTTAGGTTAGGTTAGGTTAGGTTATACCGGTGATCCCTAGTGGATCCACTTAGGTCTATTGGCCCATTGTGATGCCGTATATAAATAATAAAAACCTCAGAGTTTAAAACCACCTAGAACCTTTTGCGAAGCATAAAATGCTATTTAAAGCCCGATCCTGTAACTGGTCCAGGTCCTCAAGGAAGGGGGCACCTAGAGTACTAAATCGCTGACGTGCATGAGCTGGACAAAAACACAAAAGATGAGATGCGCTCTCATCGTCCTCCCCACAGCTACGACAGATTTGGTTGAAAGGAAGACCTAGTCTTCTAGCATGGTTCCCTAGCTTACAGTGTCCTGTAGTCAACCCTACCAGAAGACCAATGTCCTTGCGGGACATCTCAATAAGAGTTTTCGATTTCCTTTTATCGGAAAGTGGCCAGATTCCATACAGATGTCTACATATCGTTGAGTCTTCCCATCGTTTATTAAAAATCTGTTAGGTTATGTTTATAGTTAGAAAACCAATGTTCAACGGTATATATTAATCTTGAGGTTTTTCAGCAGTTTACTTTGAACCTTACCTTATATGTGCCTTACGTTTTCTTTTTGAATGCTTTAATATATATGTTATCAATTATAAATGTTTATTATCATTCGATTGTGTTGCTATTTATATTAATGTAAAATCATTCGTTTATAACTTAAATGAAAACATTTGATACTTTTGTGTTACATTACATATTCAAACAAATTAAGGTGTCACTCCTGCGTGATGCTAAGTATAAAAATTTGCAATTGTACAGAAGAATCACGTCTCGTTTATTCTAAGGATATCCTTTTTATTTTTAGACATTCTTCTACAAAATGATTTTGTGGAGTGTGCAAGGAAAATGTTATGTTCACAAAGTACGGTAAAGTAATTAACTCACTTTTCAGTTTCAGTAACTGACAGTTAATAAGTCAGAATACAACAAAAATTCCGGTAAAATAGTAACAACAACAGTTTTAATTTACTGGTAAAGTAAAGGAAAAACAACAGGTTTATAAATAACTGCAGAAAATCCGAAAAGAACCGCGTTTGCAGGCAGCGAAGTACATTAAAAAAGTGGAAATCTATAAGAAAAACAGAAAATAAATTACACAATCTAAATGCTGATGCAACGGTTAAAAAAATTAGAATGAATCTAAAACCGGGGAAACATAAGGAAAATGAGATGTGAAAAAATTTCGTTTATATTTATAAAAAAAAGAATAAAATGAAAAATTTGTGATAATATTGTAAAAAAAATTGCGTACTAATGCTGCCAACTGTGCAAAGTAATTTTTTAAATTTTTTCCATATCTTTTTCCTTCGCAAGGATATTGTTTTTTAACGCGACAACATTTCAATGCTGCTGTCTGCAGATACAAAAAACGGACATTACAACCACAAACGAATATTTTGCAGAGAAGCGAGAAAAGCTAGAAAAGCGAGGAAAAATCATACGAAAAATTGTTTTTAATAACAGCTTACAAGTGTTAGATAAACAGCAGAATTTTCTAACGCAGATAGTGAGTTGGGAGAAAAAATTTATGGTTGGAACAGAATAATATCCATAGTGACTCCTGCTGTTTTTTTAAGCTTGTTACAAGGATAATAAGTGTAAGCTTATGATTTGAGTACGCTGAGCAACGCACATACTCATACACTGCCATAAAATTTGTGCCTTTTTTTCTTTTGGAAAAGATATTTTATTGTGTATTTTTAACATGCAAGGTCTTGCTTTGGTAATTTAGTTTGTTGCACATTAACTTGGTTTCAACACTTCGTGCATTTTCATTTTCATGTGGTTTTATTAAATAAAATTGTTGAAAACTGTTTAAGTTGCTAAGAGATACTGCCACACCAGTGACTTCACAAGTCCCATACGCAGCTTAAAGTTTACTCTTCAGCTACGGATTTAGTTGGTATCCACTTTTAAGTTGTTATCAGAGGAAATTAATTTAGTTGCACTTTATTGGCTGCCCGTTACTAACGAACTTTGTGGAAGTTCAGCAAAATTTCTGGTTCAAATAGCAATAAATTAATATTCAAAATGAAAATTCAAAAAAAAATACCACTTTATTGTGTATAACAAATTTGAACTCTTCGGAAAATTTTGTTAAATTCTGTTGAAAATTATATTCTATCGATATATGTTATGCAAAACTGTTTGAAGGAACTTTGTTATTGAGTTTTAAGTAAATTAAGTTACTCAATAAGTTCAAAGGAGAAGGGGATACTATTGACAAATATGATTTTCCGGTAGTATCAACAAGACCTGTAATTACCTTGTGAAAATTAAAAATTCATTACAAAATCTACTCAATATTTCTTTTAATATTGAAAATTTTAATTTGAAACTTAGACCCAAACGAAAAAGTTTTGGTAAAAATAGATCAATGATAAAAAAACTGATAAAAAGTTGTACATCTGTCCAGCGTTTATTTTTTCCTGAACAACAATTTTAAATGTAATTTGTTTTAAATTTTTTGAATTGTTACGTCGAAAATATTTTAAAGATGGTTTGGTTTTTTAGGATTTACACACAAAAAAATGAGATCGAAACCGATTTCAACAACTTTATAATCAATTCTCGTACTATTCTTATATTTAATATTTTTTGAAAACGCAACCCATCTTCTTTACTACTAACTTAAGGGTGCTCCTACACAAAATTGTCCTTTTCTACCATATTCCATTTTTTTTTCTCTACATATTTTT